AACAATTTTACTGCTTTAGGCTGCAACGTTTCCTGACAGCTTGCCTGCTGGAAATGTGTGCTGCCATGAGCATTTCATCACAAGAAAACTGCACTCCGCAATGCGATGATACTTGGCTCTGTTTTGGTCAGCATACGGGAGACTCTGGGAAAATAAATCTCCTTCTCAGTTTTATAGAAGCAACGCGCCTGGTCAAGCTTCGGGAAATGGATGCCTTGATCGCATCTAGGCTCAGACTGTTTCTTCACCACCACGGGCGTTATGGCTCAGTCATCAGGGACGCAGATCCTCGGACCTTACATCCCCAACTTGACGAGCAAAATCTGACTGACGGCAAAGACATGATCATCAGCGAGCATCTAGACAAAGACCGTTTCCACGCTTTCACGGATCCCTGCATGTCGAACCCTTACAAACAAGAGTAGCCAGTATCCAGGGACAAGACCTGTTCTGGCGTCAGCATAGGACACGTGCAAGATACTGGTTGGCTAACGGTAGGTCGTTTCGCCTTTGACACTTGAGCGAGGTGCATCATCTCCGATGCCCAGACAAAGCTGCACATAATTGCGCTATCTATGCCGGCCGTGTTACGGCACCAAAGGAGGTGCAGTCGAGTTCGGGACCAACTATTTCCCAGCAATTATGCCTCGTGAGCTCGTTTTGCATCGCTACACGATCACGATCGATGCCCGATACGACAAGGATGGAAAGCAGCTCCCCAAACCTATAAAACAAGAAACTGAAAATGTGTATCCGGATCTTGCTAAACCGCTTGGAGTCGGATTCGGAGTCCTCAACCGGAAACTCCCATTGCCACTGATTTCAAATCAACTCTGATCTGTCTTGAGAAAACTTCGCAATCTTTGTGGGGTCCAGAGATCGAGTGTTTCCACGAGAATGACAATGCACCAGGGAGTGATGCACAAAAATACCAGCTACGCATCGAGGAGACGCTTCCAACTCTCAAAATCTCTGAGCTCAAAGAGTTGCTGGCCTCCACGGATGTTGGAGTGCAAGCAAGCATAGAGAGGTAACACTGACCTGAAATGGCGTACACCAGAGAACCAAAGCTGTGGCAGCAGTTTCAGAAGTCGTTGCCCAATTTCCGCAGCTTCTCTCTCCTTCGAGCGTGCATGAAAGTTCTCAGAGCATGATTTGGAAGCGCCGTAAGCTGTCACGTAGCACGTCTGGTATCTCACCCATTGCACATTGTGTATTGCTTATGAAGCATACTGGACCAGTCTTACGTGGATAGTGAATGCCGCGGAACAATGGCGTACACCAGAGAACCAAAGTCTTGCCAGCAGTTCCAGAAGTCGTCGACCAATCTCCGCAGCTTCTCTCTCCTTCGAGCATGCATGAAAGTTCTCAGAGCATGATTTGGAAGCGCCGTAAGCTGTCACGTAGCACGTCTGGTATCTCACCCATTGCACATTGTATATTGCTTATGAAGCATACTGGACCAGTCTTACGTGGATAGTGAATGCCGCGGAACAGTTGCTAAAACTTGCGGGGCGACTGACGCGTGCTTGTCCCATTTCGGAGTCTAATCTAGGAGTGTTAATAAAACCATGGGTTCCCGCATAACGTGACCATTTCAGAATGGTCCGTGCTGACGTGATTACGGCAGCTATGGAAGCCTCCAAATCTCTCTCCGTTGTTGATGCTTATTACATTACACAAGAAGGCTTCACTCCGCGATGCAGGATTTCACAGCGAACGAAGCGCACCTCTCCACATTGGACCAGATATCTCCCCAAGCCTACACTCGCTTCATCCTTTGCTTCGGACTTGACTCCGGTTCTCGTCATGATGAAGCTACACAGAGCCTGCGCCACGGTTTGGAAGCAACAGCAATTCAAATTCCAGCCTTGAAAAGCCTCGTCATTTCAGTGACCAATGCCAAAGGAAGGGAGACCAAAGACCTCCGTCAACACGATGTCACTATTTTCACTGTCAAAGACCTCACGACTAGTAGGCTGGACTTTGGCGAGATTCGATCACAAGGCTTCCCCAGCCAGGTCTTCGATGCCAAAACGCTATGCGCAACCGGTGTCTTTGTAGTCCCCGGATCTCCGGTGCCAACGTTTCTAGCGCAAGCCAATCTCATCACTGGAGGCTTGCTACTCGGTCTGTCCGTCTGGCATGGAGCTCTTGACGGAACAGCTATCACTACAATACTTAGATTGTGGGCGCAAAATTGCCGCGCTACAAAAGATCCGGTAAACGATAGCATTGACACCTTCACCCTGTCTGCCGCCGCTTTCGACAATTCGCGCCTGTCGAAAGTCTCTGGCCTCCAAAGAGGGTCGGTAGAGGACCATCCCGAGTTCCTCCTACTACCCGAAGCACCAACCGCCTTACCGCCAGGCTTGACCCAGACTTTGAAGACTCAGATCTTTCACATCTCTCCTGCTTCTATTTCAGCCCTCAAAGACCTCGCGAACCCTCGGCACTCCTTGTCACCCCAAAAAGAGTATAGCTGGATCTCCACCAATACCGCCATCAGTGCTCTCCTCTGGCGATCCGTCATGTTTGCCACGTACGGTCACGAACGCCCTATTACGGATTCAGTATCCATGTTCAGCTTGCCGCTCAATGGGCGCACGAGGATGGATCCACCTCTATCACCAGATCTCCTCGCGAGCGTATGGTGCTTTCAAGATTCTAGACTCCCAGTCAACGCTCTTCTTGAGGCCAATCTCGCCGACATCGCGCTCATTGTACGCAGAAATACTGACAGGGTCGACGCAAGTTACATTGATTCGCTGATCAACATGATCGATAGCGTGCCGAATCCATCTCTGTTGACGCCATTGGTTTTCACGGATGTTTTGAAGACATGTTTGATCTTAACTTCGTGGGCCGGGTTTGCGATGTACGATTTCGACTGGGGGAATGCGCTGGGTGGAACGTGCGAGAGGGTGAGGACTGTAGCTAGTGGTATGTTTAATGGTATGCAAGTTGTGCTTCCGGAGTTGACGAAAGAGATGGGTGGGGGGTTGGAGATTGTGGTTGGGTTGGAGGATGACGCGATGGAGAGGCTGAAGAGGGATGAGGTTTGGATGAAGTTTGCGCGGTTACCGTGAAGGCTCTGGGGTGTGTAGCTATTGGGTCCACAATTTGGTACTCACGCGTCAAAGGCTTCTTCCAGCGTAGCTTTTGACAACTGACTCTGGCGGTACCTAGCTAACCTTTATGTCACTTCGAAACCTTTGGGGGCTCAACTTCGGCCAACGGGCACTAAAGCGGAATTCAAATCCTCAAGTCACAGAGTATACTCAATTTGTAATATATCCCCAAAAACATTGATGATCAACCAAGGGTCTAGGAAGATTTCGTGCTACCCAAATCTCCTCTGAACGTCAGGAATTCTACACAACCCTCTCCATTCGTTCGCGCAGCCACTCTCAAGTAGACAACACCACGATTTTAAGGATTGAACCGGTCAAGATGTATCAAGATACGAGTTCATTGCGCGAGAGGAGCAGCCAAACCGAGCTTACAGGATATTGCCTTTGCGCAAGGGCGACAGAAGCTGATCTCCTGGACATCCGATACTGGGCACGAGGACAACACCCTCCGAGCTGCGAAACATGAAAGTGTGATGTGCACGGACCGAATGGTAACGACCCATGGTCATGGCATAGGCTTCCCGTAATATTTCCGTAGCCTGCACACACACCACGCCATAGAACCGTCAGATGCCCCCGACAACAGCGAGGACTTCGGACTTGGCCTTGGCTCGCTGTGCACCATAGACGTGGGCAAGATCTGGGAGAAGGTAAGGGTAAGGGTAAGTGGACGCTATGATGGGATTCTGTAACCTTGCCGCTCGGTTTTCCTCAAGGGTTGGGTGACGGAGAGGTTGACTGTGGGGAGTTGGAGAAGTCGTGAGGGAGTTCAGATGGTGTTTTGGCTTGGACTTGATGATCGCATGTAGGGATTGGAGTGTATGATGCGGCTTATCTTGGTCAGTGCTCGGATGCGCGCCGCCGCGCCGCCTAAGAATTGAGCCGCATCCATCCCACAGAAACGCGCCTCGCCGTTCGTCGTCAACGATGATTCAGATATCACGTCAAGCAGATCGAGTCCTCTCCCACGTCGATCGAGAACCGTGCAACCGGAGAACCATTGTCGGATCCAAGACCGAAGGCTGGAATAAACATCCCTTTTCACAGCAACACGACGACGCACACACCGTTTGTTGACGAGCTTGCCCAAGTCATGGGGTCTCCGAAAAGCCCTGAGCGCTCAGACATCTTGTCGGTACTCATTGGAAGCGTTTTGAACTTTGCTTCTCCACTGGCGGCTTTCATCGAAGAATGAATGCGGCAACGCACTGTCTGGACATCCATTGCCGGGGGTCATATTTCGATGCTCTATGGATCCAGGTAACGACTAGGTTTACCGCTTTCTATATCCTCGTTCTAGAGGTCCGTAGGCCTCCTGTCGCACTCCGACCGTATCTTGACACAGATCATCTCGACTCCATTACTGTCTTAGTCTTCGTGGACACCCCGGGGGGTCCCTAGCTCTCTGGCTTTGCTCACCGCGAACGAGTTCATGTAAACGACATGGGCCGCAGGCATTGGTTCCTGATGATCTACAACTGCGTTCCCAGAGGCGTTTTGCCAGTGAGCTTGTCAGTCGAGATCGCGTGGGGGCGAGGTCTGACTCAGTCGTCCTTGCAGCGCCATTCATAGACCTGTTTCAGCTTCGGAGTCTCCCGGGCGTATTTCTCAATATGGGCAATGGAAGGGAGTGTTGCCGTGAATGTCATCAGAGGTCGAAGAGACGGGAGACGCGAGGGAAAGATTGAGAATGCCAGCTTTTGCTTGGGAGGGATAATGGTGGAGATGGATATCAAGATCTCGAGGCGAATACAACAAGTGTGCCTTATTTGAAGAGCAAAGCTGCTAGGGAAAAGGGCGAATGATGTGTTGAAATGTAAAAAGGATTCTAAAAGCGACCTATTAACGCTCTTGCTAGCTAAGCTCCTAGGTCCCTTTGCGTCCAAGACCCTGTCGTAACATCTTTACCACAACATGTATGTAGTACTGTTTCATCCAAATATTCCGTACCTTGCAGTCCCTCAAACCTGCTATCATGCTGACTTCACCTGACCCAGTTCGTACGGCTGTTGCGCATTTGGAGTCAGCCGAGTTCCTTCGCAGCGAGGGTATAACTTACCAGAGAGGACATCTTCTGCGGACTTGCAGCCAAGCATTCATGCATTCGCCGTGGAAAGGCTGTTGGCATCGTGCTTCACACCGGACGAGCCCTTCATTACCGAGCCTTTGCAGGCAGATGGAGCAATCTCCCACAATACCCCCGTTGTCATCCTCCGGGGGCACCAGAAGCCTGTACGCTGGGGACGGAACTGCGAGTGTCCGTGTTGCCGCCCGGGGTATAGCAGTTGGGGATGCTACATGCCTTCCAAACTGATTCTGCCGAGGACGGCGTGTTGAGGAAGCGGCGGAATTCGGCCTTGGAACCTCGACAGTGAGGGCGGGAGTTGCGGCTCCACCTCTTACGCCTGCTACTGCTGCGACTTGCTGGGTTAAAGCATCGCTCACTCGGAGGTTCCTATTTCGTAGACGGCGTAACTTCTCGCGAGCTACTTCCGTTTCCTGACGAGCTATGGCTGTTTCTCGTCGAGCTATCTCGATGTCCTGAAGAGCTATCGTGAGGTCCCGGCGAGATATGGCTGCGTCCCGGCGAGCGATCTCCGCGTCCCGGCGAGCTATCTCTGCATCTTGTCGAGCGGCTTCTACCTCACGAGTATGAGTCCGAGCAGCGTGCTTGGACTGCGGAATCCGCGGCCTTCTCGCAGCCCGCTCGACTCTAACAGCATCTTCCAGTCGAACACCCTCTTTATGTGGAGCGACTTGCCCAAGCCGAGCCTCATTTTCCAGCTGCACAGTAGTCTCCAACCTAGCAGCTGCCACGATCTGGAACTGTTGAACCCGATCGCGCCATTTCGCAGCCACGACCCCGACCTGGTCTTGATGATTCCAATGGTTGCATAGAAGGAGGCGTGCAAGACGTTCCAGCACATGGTCAACTCCGGAGGCTGATATATTCATGCTCGAGATCTGAAGTAGAAGATCAGAGGCACGTTGGCAATTCGCTGTAGCGACACGGTGATGGCAACGCCGACGCTTCGGTTTGGCATATCCGACGCAGGTGGCCCCCAACGAGACCTGGCCAACTCCCAAGACATCTTCAGCGTCCCATAGGCCAACGAGAGGAGGCATGTTTGGCGAGAGTCAATTGGGAGCAGACAATCTTAGGTAGGTTCACTGGGTTTTCTGTGAAGAGATTGTCAAGAAGATGAGTGCTGAGAGAGAGGCATACCCTGTTTTTAATGAAGCTGTCATGCAGCTGGCCGCACAGGCTTGAAACGTGAACAAAGAGATCGTTAGGCAGGACTGGACCAACAACTTCTAGGAACAAGGATCAAGCTCCTGGTTTGACACTGCGAGACATGGATCACTTGGCATGTGAAATTATACTGGTCTGTGATCAAAGCATCAACAGCTCGTCTTTCAATGTTTTTTTCGGTGAGCATGCAGCTTGGAGGCCAAGAAGTCTTTTTGCCTTAGGGCCCCTTCGGTAACCACATATTTTCAAAATATGCCAACATATATTACCCCACCTCTTGGCAAATGAATGTGGGCTCAAAATAGCACTAGTAGACACTTGAAAATATGTAAAATATAGGTACGGTTTCGTTCGGTAACCCTGTAATCCCGCTGAGTAAGGATCGAATGTAGGATAGTCGAAAAATTCTTTCTAGTCAGACAATTGCCTTCCTACCTACCATTCAACAGTCTTATAGCTAACATACCTGCTACTGCTGCACTGCAGAATGGCCATTAAGGATTTCTTTGGTATAGGCATAGCCAGATAGAATAGACGTTCTCCGCATTTGCTTGTTATATGAGAAGAATAGTACTGAGCAGCAGTAAGAACGACACTTGCAGCTACCTCTTCAAATAGAGAGTCATCCATGACTGAAATATAGCTATTGCAGTTATGAAATGTGGCTACAGGCTATCAGTCATGAAAATGAAAAATATCGCTATTGCAGTCATAAATGTCCATTATTTCTGTGTGCTCAGCGCACATTGGGCCTCAAATTATGGGTCAACCCATAATTTACATATTTTCAATGTGCAATGTGGCCTGGCAAGTGAAAATATGGTTACCGAACGTAACCGTGTATTAATAGTACGCTAAGTTGAAAATATGTTGGCATATTTTGAAAATATGTGGTTACCGAAGGGGGCCTTAGCAGGCCCGCTGCCAGAAAACTTGGCAGCTGCAATGGCAGAATCCTCATTTGCATATCGACAATACGAGCACGAGGTTGGAGGCTCATAGTCTGTAAAGCGCTCCGTTCCGTTTCCCCTGCATATTGATTGCCAACGCTTTTGCTTTTTTACCTCGCTAGGAGTTTGGAAGAGGTAAGATACCAAAGAGCAAAACTTTATGCACTTTCTAGCGTAACCACCCAAATGGCATCTTATGAGCCTTCACGTTAGGCCCCTTTCAGGTGCTCAAGGTGTTATAGTACTTAATTAGAATGTGTTAGCCTCCTAATGATGACTTCGTAGTATAATTTTAATAATCAAAAGTTTCTATCGAGAATATGTGAAGACTGCGAATTTTGATGCATATTACGAGTACGCGCTTCACACGCGAAAAGTCGCGAAAATATAATACGCCTTACTTTACATGACGTCTTGATCATGAAGTAATGAGACGATCGTCGAGTTACTGTATATTCTTGTATAGAAAGTTTAACGCGTTTGATTCGTACTTTAGTGTAAAATCTTCAAGTCAAGTTCTTTAACTAAATGTAAAGTTTCATATCAAGCTCTTAGCTTTTTCCACCATCCTATCTCCCTGATGCATAAATGTGTAAAATCTACACACTTTTTCCCAGCAGCATGTACAGTTTGTTTTTTTTTCCACTTTGGCCAGGCCTGACCTGCGTCATCCTATTACTCACATGAGACCTCAGTCTTTACAGACTCGCAACCTTGATAGTCACCTGCATTAATCCTCACGGCGCCATATGAACAAGGCTCTGCGCTTAATCTGCCAGATGTCAGAATATCAGGTATGGTAGAATGAATGGTGTGTAGATTGCATGAATTCTTCTATCTCAGGACTCCCCTGGGCCAGTATTTGTACCCCTCACAAATTAGGTGGTTGTTCCAACAGGTGGCTGGGAGGAGGCTGGGAACCTTATTTTGACACTCCCCTGTGACCTGCCTCCCCTAGCCCAATCAAAAACATGATGCTATACCCAAATCTGATACCGACAAGCCTTCCTGGCCGTCATCAATAAGCCTTTCCTGGTGCTACCGACAAGCCCTCCTGGCCGTCACCGACAAGCCCTCCTGGCCGTCACCGACAAGCCCTCCTGGCCGTCACCGATAAGCCCTCCTGGCCGTCACCGACAAGCCCTCCTGGCCGTCACCGACAAGCCTTCCTGGCCGTCACAAGTTAATGAATGCTTCCTTTTCACCTGGTGCCTCTTGATCCTGCTGTAACTCGTCCCATTTCCGCTTCCGAGATCTCTTCTCAATGGTCCACCTTTCTTGTAGCCATTCTGGGGCCAATTCCGGATGTAACTTCCAACAAACCTCGTCCTCATGAGGCTTTCCACAACGAGAACATTTGACCTCATGCTCGTAGTTCAGAATGGCCTTTCCACTTGGCATCCTCTTACCCGGATGTCTTGTTGTTGCAACCAATCCTACCCCCCCAGTGTCCAAAGTCTTTTCACGTCTCTCTTCCTCCAGAAGCATACTTCTCGCTTTATCAGCAGTCATCCCCAGCGTCACAGCCCAAATCTTGGTGAAGTATTGAAACCGTTCTGGGAGAGTCATGCCAAGACATAGAAGAGTCTGCTTATCGTCGTCGAGAATCACGTTGGTGCCGCGAATACGCTCCTCGAGAGTCTTAATTTGAGTGAGATAGTGAGTCATAGAGTCGAAATCTTCGTACCGGAGCGAGTAGTACTCCCGGGTCAATCGCATGAATTCGGCGTCACCTTTCGGGGCATAGATATTGACTAAGGAGGTCATCATAAGGTAGCCATCGTCAAAAGCGTTAGCCTGAAGTTTCTGCTTGACGGGGCCACTTATGGTAGGGGTAATAAGGTCTGCAGCCTCCATTGCTGAATCACGCCATTTGGCTTGGGCCGTGACTGATTTATCAGGATCCGGGGCCTCTTGAGTGTAGTTCCAGAGCTTTTTACCCCTAAGAAGGGCCTTGACATCGATAAGCCATTCAGAATAGTTGTTGTCCGTAAGCTGACGGATAGGTGACTTGAATGAGGAGGTTTCGGGGTCCATGATTGGCTAGGATAGATGTGGAATAGCGTATGTCTTAAAAGTGGTGGTACCCTAAGCGTCAAGCCCGGGCTCATAACCTGTCAGAATATCAGGTATGGTAGAATGAATGGTGTGTAGATTGCATGAATTCTTCTATCTCAGGACTCCCCTGGGCCAGTATTTGTACCCCTCACAAATTAGGTGGTTGTTCCAACAGGTGGCTGGGAGGAGGCTGGGAACCTTATTTTGACACCAGAGGTCGTCTGATCCTTTGAAATGATCCCGGGGTGAATTTTGTCGTACATCAATCTACATAAAGTTCGGAGACGTCTCCGTCTGGTTCCGCCCAAGCCTGCTTCCGCCTCCGAATCTTAACTCTATTGGCGAAGACAATGAGATGGCTTCAACAATTGATACTCTGCAACTCATCAGCTTTTACTGAGCTACAGTCCTTCTCTGCTGATCTATCCTTTGATCCTTCACCTGCTTATTTATATGGCGGTACGGTATCTAATCCTTACCATAGCAATGCAGATTCCCGTGTTTTCTTTTGTTTCTGATAAACTTTTCCCTGTTCATGTCGTCACCGATCCATTTCAACCTTTTCTATCGATCGGCCGCTCTGGCCACCGGCTCTGATCGTGACAAGACTGTGGCGGCTCGAAGCTGCGAGGACCCAAAATGCATAAGTCGAGATGCCTAGGTGTTAAGAAAGCCATCAGTGGGCAACCATGGAATGGCATACAGATTCGTGAGCTAGCTGCAGTCAAGTATTTTCGACTCTGTCTGGAACAAGCCTATGGCTGAACCCCGACTACCGAACGCTATGCCGTACACAGCGAGATCGAAAAACGAACAGCAGCAGGGTCAGCCTAGCATGCCACCTGTTAGGTATAAGAAGGGCCAGGTTTCCCATATCCTACTGGTCTTTCAAGCTCATCTTTCATTACTCTTTCACTTGCATATTTTCTGCCATCGTTTCCAAGACTTCTGATTCCGGTAATCAGAGTCTTCAGACACACTATCTTTAACAGTTTTCTTCACCAACACTATCTTTAACACAGTTTCTATACTCGCAATCTCTTTGACAGGATGCATCCGACAATCTTCCTTACTTCCTTAGTAGGACTCGCTGCAGCTGCTCCCCTTGCATCGCAGAGTGCCTCGGACTGCAGCAACGGCCCAAAGTCAACTGTTACGGTCACTGTGACTCCGTCATCAAGCACATGCGGAACGACTAAAACCAGTTCGAAGCACACAACACACAGCACAGTCCCCTCGAGTAGCCACCATTCATCCGTTCATTCTTCGAGTACTCGCTCTGGTAGCGTGCACTCATCCATTCATTCAACATCATTAACAAGCAGCCACCACTCAACTCCCTCCCCCGCTACTCCATGGAGTAGCCACCTGTCATCCTCCGTGCACTCGAGCACATCCTCATCTCACTGGTCGCGCCCAACTTCATCCTCCGTCAAGGGTTCCTCCAGCTCGGTTCACCCATCGTCGTCTGCTGCTTCTAGCGAGATCTCTTCCTCTAGCAGCTCCGTCAAGCCTACGATTCCGAGTAGCTCTAGCGTGATTTACTCAACCTCAGCGCATCCATCTTCGTCTGCGAGCTCCAGCAAAATTCCTTCGAGCTCAGTGCACCCAGCATCATCTGCTAGCTCTAGCAAGATATCCTCATCCCGCAGCTATAGTAGCTTAATTGAGACTCCTTCCAGCAGCTCCGTGCACCCATCTTCGTCGAGTAGCTCGGTCAAAGCTCCTGCTCCCACCAGTTCGGTACACCTATCCTCATCTGCCAGCTCAGTCCAGTTCTCTTCCTCCAGCTCGGTCAAGACCGCTTCCTCCAGCAGCTGGGAGCGTCCTTCCTCATCCTCTTCAAGCAAAGTTTCTTCAACTAGCAAGGTAGGCGTCTTCGAAGAATTCCCTGGCTGATAAGCTCCACAACATTAGTCATCCCTGGAAGAAGATGACAGCCTGGACTACTCCATAGATGAAAACCATCCAAGAGAAGAAATGCTGACTTCGCAATTTTAAATAGGTTACCTCTTCTAGCCAAACAATCTCTTCGAACTCTGCACACCCAATTTCATCTTCGTCAAGCAAGATCTCGCCTTTGAGCTCAGCAACTAGCGTTTCATTAAGTGTCGAATCACCGGTCAGCTCCCATTCCAGCTCAAGCACTCCTTCAAGCGTGCACTCGGCTTCTCCCTCAAGCAGCAGCCACTCTACCAGTGTATCAAGCAGCCCATTAAGCAGTGCGACGACTCTTTTGCCTAGCAGTAGCCACTCGAGCCTCTCATCAAGCAGCAAACCGGCCTCGTCATCGAGCTCCTCCATTAGCATTCACTCGATTGTGCCATCAACGAGCTTCTCAAGCGCTTACTCAACTGGTTCATCGAGCTCCTTCAGCAGCATCCACTCGATTGTGCCATCAACAAGCTCCTCAAGCGCTCAATCGACTGGTCCATCGAGCTCCTTCAGCAGCATCCACTCGATTGTGCCATCAATAAGCTCCTCAAGCGCTCAATCGACTGGTCCATCGAGCTCCTTCAGCAGCAGCCACTCGACTGTGTCATCAACGGGCTCCTCAAGCGCTCAATCGACTGGTCTATCGAGCTCCTTCAGCAGCATCCACTCGATTGTGCCATCAACAAGCTCCTCAAGCGCTCAATCGACTGGTCCATCGAGCTCCTTCAGCAGCATCCACTCGACTGTGTCATCAACGGGCTCCTCAAGCGCTCACTCGACTATTCCATCGAGTTCCTCCAGCTCTAGCACTGCGTCTTTCACCTGCACTGCCTCCCCGGCCGCCCAAACCGGCTTCACAGGCCCAACCAAGCTCAACGGTGCAATCCAAGCACCTGATGGATCCACCTACTTGACTGTGCACTTCCAAGCTGGCAACACCCTTGATACCGCTTTCTGTGCTGAACAATGCCTGGGAGATGCCGCTGCCGGATGTAAATTCTTCAATGCTTACTTGGGCTACACCAACGGTCAGATCGATGGTACCCACTGCGCTGAGTACACCACCACATATGGCTCTCCATATGACACCAATGTTGGACAATATCAAGGCAACTCATACTATAGTGTCGGTTGCAGCTATGGATACAGCTTGGTTTCGAGCTCTAGCTCTTCGTCTATTGTTTCATCAACCTCGTCAAAAACTAGCTCAGCCAGCACCATCCAAAGCTCGATTGTGCCGTCCACCTCCAGCGCACCTCGAAGCTCCGTGACATCTTCAGGCCCCAGCTCTTCTCAGAAGATGGTTGTCCTTTCCAGCTCTTCTCAGACGACGGCTGTCCCTTCCAGCTCTTCTCAGACGACGGCTGTCCCTTCCAGCTCTTCTCAGACGACGGCTGTCCCTTCCAGCTCTTCTCAGACGACGGCTGTCCCTTCCAGCTCTTCTCAGACGACGGCTGTCCCTTCCAGCTCTTCTCAGACGATGGCTGTCCCTTCCAGCTCCAACGCGCCCTCGAGCTCTGACGTCTCATCTACCAACACGAGGAAACACCGTATCCAAACGGCCCAGACCACTACCATCCCAGTGCAAACCTCCACCATGGATGTCATCACCTCTGAGGTCGTCTACACAACGGTCACAAGCTGCCCAGTAGCGAGCACAACTCACACCGAGGGAGGAAGCACTTCGATTGAGGTTGTTACCAGCGTCTCTACCTTCCTCACAACGGATACTGTGACTATCTGCACGAGATGCACTGCTACGACCCCCTCGTTCACACCTGCATCTAGCACCCCCGCTGCTGCTACCACCACTGCTACTGGCTCGGCTGTCAACACGCCTTCTAACTCGGGCTCCAGCGCCGCTGCTAGCACCCAGTCTTCCGCCGTCAGCTCGCCTGCTCCTACGACTATGGTCACATTGAAAGCTTCGACCGCGGCTCCCCATCCGACACAGATACTAAGCTGAGATCGAGATATTCGGCGACGGTATCTGATAATTGTTGGTCAAGATAAACCTTGCTGTTCAGTCGCATTGAGACGCGTTAGATGGCTCATGCTGGTCAAGGGTCTTGTTGTCCGATTGTGTTGAGCTAGATTAGATGGGTCTTGCTTGACAAGATGGTTTTGTTTTGGTTTTGATCTTTTGGCGTTCTGGAAAAAAAGCAAAAACAGAAAAAAATCGCTCTTTTGTTTGGGATAGACTGGAATATAGAAAACGGAGAGCCTATCTTTTAAATTACTTGAAATCTGCTAAGCTTAGCAGCTTCTCTCCATTGCTTCCAACGTTCAAGAGCATCAGTGACTCCGTCAAGAAGATGATCAATGTAGAAATCCAAGTCATTGTCAAGACTGCCGCTGCAGCCGCTATCTCCCAAACATAAGAGCAACAAGTCGCTGCTCATCGTATCTAACACGGCCAAAGCAAAGCCGATGATCCAGGTCCGATTGATGTGCTCCGGAGAAGAAAACCAAAGGCAATAACTGCCGAAGCTCAACGCGAGATCCGTCGTCGCATTTGCGCTATCACATCACTGTGATCCGACATCGTCGATGCCATCATCTCGGAACAATTCCAGATCCGCCGCTGCGGATCGATTGGAACCGTAGAAGTAACGGAGTCGTAACTCATCTACTGGCCATCGCGCCGCCCTTACCGCTCTTGAAGCCCATCCCTCCACCAGCTCGGGCTCCGATACCAGCAGTCGAGCCGGGCGCCGATTCTCGCCGAAAGAACGTAGACCCTGGACTGTGCTTTCGTGCGGAGTACCTTCTCCCGCGAAAGACGCTGTAAGCGTCTGGTTTAGTAGGTAGGCCGAATCGGACAACTACTTCTTTGGATGTCCGGAATCCTACCGCCGGGCGATGCATCCGGCGCTCCGGGCCGGCCCTGGAGCCCCGACGCCTCTTCCACCTTCATGAGCAACCTCTCAATCTCAACCTCCATCCTCACCCTCTCGGCCCCAGGCGCCGAAATCGCCGGCACCCCCGCCAAAGAGCAACCCCGAATCCGGCCGCTCCCTCGCACGCGGGCGGGACGCTGCCGTTTCTGGCCTGGCGGCCGGAAGCGCTGTGCTCGGTGTTGTTTGCGAATCTGCTGACGGACGCGTCGCCGAAGGGGGGGGGCAGGTTGTGGAGGACGCGAAGAGCTCCTACTTGGATGTCGCGTTGAGTGGGAGTGGGAACAATTTGGATTCGCTGTTGGAGTGGGCGCCGAAGGAGAGGGTGCTGTATGGGAGTGATTTCCCGTACGCGACGGCCGAGGCGGTGTGGAGCGATAAGGTTTTGGAGGGGTATGAGGTTGATGGGGGGATGAGGGAGGCGATTTGTTGGGAGAATGCTTTGAGGTTGTTTCCAAGGCTGGCGGGGAAAGAGGGAAAGTAGGGTCGGAAGCTGTAGTCGAATATTTGACCACATCTATCCAACCCAGCCTTTATACGATATGAAAGAACGGCACACCAACATTGGAAAACAACTGCGCTAGCAAAATTGAATTGGGCCTAGGATTTTCTTTTTTTAAATGGTAGACCAAATAGAGAGAGCATGATAGACACTGGAACAAGTACTCAGATTCGACAGTATAACTCGTCTTCTGACCCTGATCTTTCCCACGAACCCCTAATTTCCGAGACTTTTCGTCGGGTGCCTACATATTGATACACCGCACCGGGAACCATCGTGGGAATGGGTTTTGCTACCCCTCTCCCCTGATCGAAAGGAAAACCCTTTTGCTAGGCTGGTGTCTTGTGTGTTGGGTATGTTGGTGCCTTCGTCGGGGTCGATGGTACAGGATGTTGTGTTTCCGATCGGGCATAGTGGCGCGTACTCGCTTGGTTGGGTCTGTGCCGTGTGTGTACTGTACTATACTGGTACTGGGGGTTCGAGAGGGCTTCTGCGGGGTTTTGACGTTGGGTTTTGCGTGGGTGTGTGTTTTGTTGTTTTGTTTAGTTTTGTTGTGTTTTGTTTTGTGTTGTTTGATATTGGTTTTTTTCTCACGTTCTGGCTTTCCACTATTGTCCGCCGTCTGTTCGCATTCGCACAACATGTACGGTTAGTATAGCAATCACGAAATTATATGGAAGAGTTCTCGAATGGATGTAATTTGCCCTCTTGAGAAGGAGCGCTAGTCACGGGAAGAGTTTTTTTCCTCGCCTACGGTTCGGTGGCGGTGGGATTGTTGCAAGAAACGCGGGTTTCGATCGCAAAAGCTAGGGATTTCGGAGACTTTTGTCGATGGACTGTGTGTATTAGATAGAATGACATCGACAGATCCGGAAGCCAGCCGTTCTCCATAATCAACTGACAGAGACGAAAGTAAACCATACAACGCTCCTCGAACCCCATCACGGCCCGACCCACTGCCCCCTTTCTAAATCATCATGTTCCACCCTCACATTCAGCTCCACTCGGGGTTGGACCTGGCGCGCCACCAGTGGCATCTGTGGCAGTCTCCTATCCGCGTATAAAACCTGAATAGACGCGTAGGGCGCAATATTCCCCTTGCGAAGACTACTGCTGTCGTTCGTGCTCTTGAACAACAAATGGTTCGGCGGTGGGATCCGATGGAATCTACCACCCCTTGCTGGTGCCTTCGGAGGGGAGCGACCCGCTTTAGTGAGAGTGAAGAAGTTGCGGAAGAGGGGGCGGAGGATGGGGAGGGAGACGAGGATGAGGCTGAGGGCTTGCTCGGCACTGTGGGTGGCCTGTCAGTGGAATGATGAGCGCATTTTCTCAGTATTGGAGGACGAACCATGCCCATTTGACGACGATGACTGCATTCCCTGTCGAGTCTTATTAAGCGAGGGCTCGGAATAGCGTTAGGATAGAAGGTAGCGCTTACAAGTGAAGTCCCTTGACCAGATCTCCTTCAGTGTGATTGCCTTTGCGACAGCGCACATTGCCGTACTGGAGATAACATGAGCAGATTTTGCTCGGTGATTTAACCGGGAGGACTCACAATACACCCAAGCCCATCAGAACACACAGCGCAACCTTAGTCCTCGTATTCATTTGCATTCGATATAACACGAAGGTAGGAATCCCCGAACAGACGAGATCGGTAAATGCATCGAGGCCTGCAAGAAGCTCTTAGCATCCATTGCCAACCACGAAACATTTATCTTACTAAAAGCAACGTAGGTAGTGGTGTAAGCTGTTTTCGGCGAGTAACACCTCCCGTTGACCTTTGGATCCCACAACGCGTTCAACGGTCTACATTCCGCGAGCAACATAGCCAACTGGGCGACGTGAATAGCGCCCACGAGCGCGATGTTGACCCAGAGGAAAGTAGCGATGCGCCTTTCAACCCTATCGATAACACGGAGGACGCAAAGACACAGCGAGGCTTTGACGAGTCCGAGACAGACGATGTGTTGGGCTTGCGCGGCGATGCTCCACTGTATCGTTGCATAAGCTCTGGCGGGACCGAGACATTCGATGTGCTTTCCAAGACCTGTGTGAACCCATTTGGTGACGAGAAAGGGATCTGGGAGGCCGATGATCTGCTCCGCCTCATCAGTACAAGTATCTGCATGCCCCATCCTAGAACGGTGGAAAGCTTACGACGCTCGCGACGAAGGTATAGTCGTCCCAATAGAACCCTTTGCCGAACTTTGTTCTACAGTACAGTCGCAGCGACACGACAATAATGGCTACGATTGTAAAGAACCATTCCATCGCCAGAAGGCTAGATTGCTGGGACTCTTGGCATAGCATTTCGAGCTGCGCTGGAGACATCTGGAGAGCCATTGATGCAGAGCTCATGTTGTTGCTAGCAGACCAAGAGCGGTCGCGAAACATTTAATGATGAAAATTGAATATGAGCTATGATGCCTGCTAAAAGAGACCTTTAACAGAATATATAAAGGTATACTCATGCGTCCAAGAGAAGGCGTTGTGTGCCTTGTAGGCTGTGCCGTTAAAGTGCCAAACGGTTGCTGCGAGTTGAAGGCTGAGTCTTACCTGCATAGGCGTGACGCAAGTATTCCACGCTAGAAAAACAAAGCACGGCTCCGAATACCTAATTGGTTTTCAAAGTGGACATCGATGGCCATGGGACTAACACGGGGAAAACTGGGCCTTCTTGATAGCGATTTGCTGACCTCCTTCGACGTTAGGTACAATTCGAGAGTCGGGATACGTCTTATATATTCTGTTTTTGATGACATGGCTACCAAAGCTCGGTAATTTGTGAGGCTCGGCAGGAGTCGCTTGTACTAAGAGTTCGCATGCGGCAACAAATAGAAGAAGAGTCATGGAGATTGTGCATAAACAATTGTCCGAGCATGTTTTGATGCGTGGTAGATATTGAGGGGTAGAGAGTACTTACGGATGTGTTTGTACTAGCGGCACTAGAGGGCGATTGACGGCAACCCAGCCAGTTGGGATTTGGGAAGCGCCAAATTGTAGCTGCAGTAGAGAAAATCATACATATGGTATTGAGACTGCTTGAAATATTTCACTCCCGATTTAGAAGCCATCCAAGGGCCGTGTTAATATGTCTGTTCAGGAATGAACGTGTGTGTGCAAGAGAGAATGACTGAAGCAGAATACACGCTTCACTTCCCCATTCTTTGCGCCCGGTCATTGCCTATTGTTCATCTCAGACTTTCTCGTGAGTCAACCACTGAATGTCGCGATCAGAGAATCTGAAGCACGCCAGCGCAACGAGAATGTTCGTCGCAGGATCGAAGTGACGAAATATCGCGTCGCGAAGCTCGGTGGGCAAACGCTCAAATCCACCTCTCAGCCGAAGCCCCATGTTCGTGAAGGTGGTGAAGAAAGAAGGTCTAGGCGCAAGATGGTGCAGGATGAGTTTGCGCAGGTTGAACGGTAGGTAGCTTTCATCCTCCTTTGACTGATCAATGACGTCCTCGAAAGAGCGATAGAAGCCACACCGAGGCTCCACGAGGATCTGCTTGAGCCTGGCGGTCGGCCAGGTTGGAGCGATGCCTTTGTGGCGCAGAAGGTGCCAAGTAGCCGTGATAAGAGGCGGGTAGTCGCGAAACTCAACGCGATCCAGGATGTTAAGCATAAGTTCAGCGGGAAGTTGGTAGATGGGGAGAGCGTAAAGCGCCTGGAGTTGCAGCCCAGCCTGGAAACGCTCTTCAATTGACTTTCTTGCTCCGTTGTCCTGCCTCGGAACCGTCGAGTGGGGCATATTGCTTTTGGGAAGTTCGGGAGATCTGAGAGAGACCTTGCCAGATGTATTCCGAGAGATGCCAGGCAAACACTGCTAGGACGATCAGGTAGATGCCGGTTGGTAGCAAAGATCTTGGAAGCACGTTGAGTAGGAACGGGTCCAGGACTGTGAACGCGATCAGCTCACCACGATCGCAACTAGAGAAGAGTTCTGGCTCACTGATGTCGACATTCACAGGCGGAACATCTTGCATAAGCGTCTTATTGGTGGTGAAGTAATCTGCAGCAGCAAACACTTGAAGGAGAAGAAGAGATTCTGGATTGCTATCCACTCGGTGATAATCAGGACTCTGATCTGGTGCAAGAATAGTCTGACGTGAGTCAGAGTAATCAGCGAGAGAAGTGATTAGCTCTGGCGTGTCGAAAACTTCTTGTAATTGGTAAGTGTTGAGTGTGAAGGAAGTTGGTTGCTATTTTCACCCTGTCAGTATCCAGCCAACAACGATACCATCTTCCTATGAATGTAGATTTCGATGAAGAAGAGTGAGAAATAAGTGTCCAGAGACTCACCGTTGCCGCCCAGCAGATGCGAACTTCGTAGCGCTGGTGCTGCGTCAGTTTGTCAAGTAGAAACCATGCTGCAATGCCTTTTGGACTGGCAGACTTTGGAAATGCTGCTGATAGCTGGCGGCGTAGTGTTGGGTTTGAGGAAGACAACACTTCGAGCTTAAGGTCTTCAAGATTCGGATGCTGTTGAGAGATTTGAATAGCTTCTGGTGCAAGGAAGATAGTCTTCTCTACGTTGCCATGGACTAGGAAAATGCACCAGGCTAGACTTTGCAGATATGCCAGAAGCCGCATAGCTGGGTATGACTATACTCACTTGCAGCCAATTGCCTCTTTGGATGGATCCCCGAGCATCTTCTAGTAAGCGTTGGCAAACTTAAGGATGTGCTCGGCTGCGCGGATTTGCAAGACATGTTGTTTGATACGGCCACATGCGGTAGTCCACCTTCGGTTAGGCTTGTTGATCGCTTGCTTCGCGCTTTCTGCAGGGGACAACAACAGAAGCTACACACAAACTTTCTCATTCACCACGACACTCTCCACAATCTGCAGCCAACCCCGACTTGCTGCTTCTTGTGACATCAAACACCTCTTTACAAGACATCTGTCAAGGTCTTATACCTGCTTTCACCATGAGAGAAGTCATCAGCTTGAACGGTGAGTCCCCACAAATACGCGCCTCTGCGTCCTCCTGTGCTCCTCTACCCAAGTAGCAATCAAGGTACTGACTCTAAACGCGCACAGTTGGCCAAGCCGGCTGCCAGATTGCTAATTCCTGCTGGGAGGTGAGCAACTTGATGCATTTTGGGACGCTCGCACAAATAGCGGGGCATTCTGTCGAAAATGCTCGAGGGTCAGACTAACAACTGGTGATAGCTCTACTGCTTGGAGCACGGCATCCAGGTGTGTACTGATCTTTACTCTGCTCTCCATGGAACGTACAGCTGGTTTCGAGTGTTTGCTGACGCGTTTTGTGTTCTCAGCCTGATGGATACCTCACCGAAGAGCGCAAAGCCGCCGACCCAGATCAGGGGTTCAGCACCTTCTTCTCCGAAACTGGTATGAAACTATCAACACCACTCTTGGCACACAATAAAGTTGCTAATAGAATCTTTTCTAGGCCAAGGCAAATACGTCCCTCGTACCATCTACTGCGACTTGGAGCCCAATGTTGTCGACGAAGTCCGTACTGGTACCTACCGAGACCTTTTCCACCCCGAACAGATGATCACTGGGAAGGAAGATGCGTCCAACAACTATGCTCGTGGTCACTATACTGTCGGAAAGGAGTTGATTGATCAGGTGTTGGACAAAATCCGTCGTGTTGCGGACAATTGCTCCGGTCTACAGGGATTCTTGGTGTTCCACTCATTTGGGGGGGGAACTGGATCCGGTTTCGGTGCTCTGCTCATGGAGCGTCTGTCCGTGGACTATGGCAAGAAGTGCAAGTTGGAATTTTGCGTCTACCCTGCTCCTCAAGTCGCTACCTCCGTTGTTGAGCCCTACAACTCCATCCTGACCACTCACACCACTCTCGAGCACTCGGACTGCAGTTTCATGGTCGACAACGAGGCTATCTATGACATCTGTCGTCGCAACTTGGGCATTGAGCGACCCAATTACGAGAACCTGAACCGATTGATTGCCCAAGGTACTTTTTTCAAGCATAGGTATAGAGGCTAGCGCTGACGATGATCCCTAGTCGTGTCTTCAATCACCGCCTCTCTCCGCTTTGACGGCTCACTCAACGTCGATCTCAACGAGTTCCAGACCAACCTGGTGCCATATCCCCGTATCCACTTCCCTCTTGTCGCATACTCGCCAGTCGTCTCCGCTGCCAAGGCATCACACGAGGCCAACTCTGTCCAGGAGATCTCGATGTCGTGTTTCGAGCCCAACAACCAGATGGTGAAGTGCGATCCTCGCAACGGAAAATACATGGCTACTTGCTTGCTCTACCGTGGTGATGTCGTACCGAAAGATGTTCACGTTGCCGTTGCTACGCTCAAGACCAAGAGCACTATTCAATTTGTCGACTGGTGCCCAACTGGATTCAAGATTGGTATCTGCTACCAGCCACCCCAGATGGTGCCCAACGGAGATCTTGCTAAAGTCAACCGCGCCGTGTAAGTGGTGACTTACCTTTTTTCCCAATCAGGACACTGACCTGTGACTAGCTGCATGCTGTCCAACACTACCGCCATTGCTGAAGCCTGGTCCGCTCTCTCCCACAAATTCGATCTCATGTACTCGAAGCGTGCCTTTGTTCATTGGTACGTTGGTGAGGGTATGGAGGAGGGCGAGTTCTCCGAGGCCCGTGAGGACTTGGCTGCTCTTGAACGTGATTACGAGGAGGTTGCTACAGACTCTGCCGAGGGTGAGGAAGGTGGTGAAGCCGAGTATTAGACGGTCAGTCGCAGGTCTTTGGAGCTCGCCTCAGCTCCAGCTCTACGTCTTGGTCACATCAAATTGCTCCCCGTGGCCGGCGTTGTTGAGTCTTGTGTGTTCGGATCCTTTTGCAAATGGTTCTAGATCTTCCTGACGTGCAAATGTGTGAAGAAAAGACGTGGATGATTCAATGAAGCGGGTGTCTGCTTTAAAGCGAAGTTGAAGTAAAGTAAATCAATGAAATCCAATGCTCCATGATATGCTTGCCTACTTTACTATCCCAATAATAGAAAGCTTGAATTGGACTCAGCCAATTGCAGCGACTGAGCACGATTACAGTGTCTTGGCATCTTGGCATTTGTTTTCTCGATCATCAAAAACGCTGATCCCTGCTTTGGTGCTTGGGGGCAACAACCAAGCCAGCCCAAAGTAGAGAGCTCTTCCACAATTAGGTGCACTTGACCATATATCATTTGCACTTGGGTTAGCGTCTCCAGCATCGAGCTTGATCGAGCTTTATCGAGCTCTATATATGCAGTGCCTAAGCCTCTCTGTCGACACTGAACAAGAAACCCGTTCTCCGCGGTGGACGGCGAAACATCGCCAAAGCCATGGCTGACGTGGAGTCGCAGCAACGAGAGGTGCAGCGTACGTAAAGCTTCAAAATCCGTTATCTTTTGCCGAATCAGTTGAAGCTGACTGCGTTTCGAATCTAGAGCATCCTAACCTTCACCTGAGCCCCGAGGAGCGACGCCTTTTCGGCCAACTGTTTTCCGCCGCGGATACCGAAAAGATTGGTGTGGTAACGGGAGAGGTGGCAGTGAAGTTTTTCGAAAAGACACGACTACCGCCGGATGTGCTAGGAGAGGTGGGTATACTGGAAACCACGAGAGCTCGAGAATCGTGCTGACCCAGGCAACATCATACAGATCTGGCAAATTGCGGACAGCGAGAACCGGGGGCTACTCACACCTGCTGGATTCGGCATTGTTCTGCGATTGATCGGATACGCTCAGGCAGGACGGCCAGTCTCAGCTGAGCTTGCATTGAAACGTGAGTGGATCCTATAAAACACAGGCGAGACGGGGAATTGACCACGCGTCTCATAGCTGGTGGACCTCTGCCTAAGTTCGATGGCATCACAGGACCTCCAGGACCACCACAGGCGCAGCCACAGGCACAGCCTTTGCAAGCTCAAAACAGTGGCCCCATCAGAGTTCCTCCGTTGACTCCGGACAAGGTTGCGCAGTATTCATCTCTCTTCGAAGAGTCGGGTGCGCAAAATGGAATACTATCAGGTATGGTTTTCTCCTGCCCCACTACTCAGGAATTGATTGCTGACTCTAAATGCGCAGGCGAAACCGCAAAGCAAATATTCGAGCGAGCCAAGCTGCCTAACGATGTGCTCGGACGCATATGGAACCTTGCAGACAGGGAGCAGAAAGGGCATTTGGGGCTGACGGAGTTCATCATTGCCATGCATCTTCTGGCCTCCTACAAGAACGGATCTATGCGCGCCCTACCACAGATACTACCCTCCGGGCTGTACGAAGCGGCAGCCAGACGAGGTGTTGCGCGACAAGTAACAGGCTCCCGACCAACATCGGATGGCTTTCCACCATCTGCGGTACCCAAGCAGTTTACAGGCACAGGATATCCAGCCCAAGCGTCACCTGCAGCTCGCCCACAGCAACCACCCTTTCAGCAACCGACTTCGACTGGAGATCAATGGGCTGTCAGTCCTCAAGACAAAGCACAGTTTGACCGGATTTACGCTACTGTTGATACACAAAACCGCGGATACATAACAGGAGAGCAAGCAGTGGGCTTCTTCAGCAACTCCAGGTTACCGGAGGATGCGCTTGCGCAGATTTGGGATCTCGCCGATATCAATTCCGAGGGCCAGCTCAATCGAGATGAATTTGCGGTAGCAATGCACCTCATCAAGCAACAGCGTAGTAAAGGAGATGGCAGAGATGTCCTACCACAAAGTCTGCCTGCCAATCTAATACCACCAAGCATGCGTCGTCAGCCTATAGCGCCGCAGCAGCCCACCGCCCCGGTCTTTGATAATGCTGCAAACATTAGCGCGCCAAAATCGGCGTCCGAGGATTTGTTTGGTCTCGACGCATTCTCGGCCCCATCATCTCCACCATCACAGCCGCAGACTAGGACGACTGGCGACTCTGCGTACACTGCGACACCACCTCGAAATACAAACTCACCAGTGCCTCAAGCATTCCAGCAACAACAATCACAGCCTCAGCCATTCCCGCAACAACAATCGCACTTTAAGCCATTCGTCCCATCGTCATCTTTTGGGCAAGCTATGATGACTCCTCAAGGCACTGGTACATCAGCAAGCACAGCCAGTCCTGTGGTGCAGAGCCGGGGTCTCCCACAGCAGCAACAAAAACAGCCCTCTGCCATGGATGATCTACTCGGAGACAACGATCCTGAAGTCAGCAAAAGGCTCACTAATGAGACATCGGAGCTTGCTAATCTATCTAACCAGGTCAGCAGCTTGACTGGTCAAATGCAAGATATCAAAACAAAGCGCAGCTCTACGGAGCACGACTTGTCTCAAGCACAATCGCAAAAGCGAGATTTTGAAGATCGTCTCACTCAGTTGCGATCTGCGTATGAGCAGGAGGTTAGAGAGGTCCAGGCGCTGGAGGAACGTCTGAGAGGCTCTAAGGGTGAGACACAGAAGCTTCAACAAGACACGGCAATGATCCAAGGCACCCACGAGGATCTTCAGAATCAACATCGACAGATCAGCGATGCCTTCCGTATGGATCAGAATGAGAACTCTAGTCTGAAGGAAAAGATTCGCCAAACAAACGCAGAGATTAGCGAGATGAAGCCGCAGCTTGAGAAGATGCGATCTGATGCCCGACAGCAGAAGGGTTTGGTAGCGATCAACAAGAAGCAGCTCGCTACTAACGAAGCTGAACTGGAGAAGGCAAAGGCCGATCTAGAGACAGCTACAAGAGAACACGAGGAAGCTGCGCGAGAGCTGGAGCAGAGTAAACGCGACCTGGAGGCTTCTTCTCAAGCTGTTTCTGAAGCGAAATCTCAAGTTCGAAGTCCGCCAGCCGCAGTAGCCAGTCCTGCTACATCCACCGCAAGCATGAACCCTTTCTTCCGTCGATCTTCCAACGCCACAACCGAGAAGGGTATGTCCCCCTTTCAGACGCAGGTTATTGCATCCCCCAATCACAACGCCTTTGACAGCTTTTTTGGGCCTTCTCTTGGTTCGTCGAATCAGACTACTGGCCATCCACCGTCCACCTCTTTCAAAGACGACCCCCCTAATACCCACCGTGAAGCACCTGAGCAATCAATGGCTTCAAACCAGTCTCAAAACTCGTCATACGGTCCAGACATTCCCACTCCATCGGGTTCGCCGCCGCCTCTATCTAGTTTTAGTGATTCCCCTCAAATCATCAGCGAGCCGCCGGCGCCTCCGCAGTCTCGACAGATCACTTCCAGCTTTTTGCCATTTCGACCTAGTGTGGAGCGCTCTGACTCCGAGAGTCCATCAGTGAGAGCTAATCCTCCTGCAAGCCGCATCGGTGACAGGTCCGAGTTAGAGGGGTCGACAGAAAGGCAGACTTCGACCGCTGAACCTTCCATACCCGAATCACCAAGGCAGCACTTCGCAGAGATGGCTGCGAAGCCTCCTCAGGCAGAAGCATCGCGATTTGCCCCACCGTCTTCACAGCAGACCCCCACGGCGTCCAGTGAAGGCATTCGACAGCAAGAAGTTGCCGTTCCCGATGAGATGGCTGAGTCCTCTGGTATGCCAAGCGCGACCAGGGATGTTCCTGGTGCGTTCCCTGGGGACGAGACGCCTGAGCCTGAGCCCAGCTTCTACCAATCTGTCAAGACACCGTACAGTAGCTCGAAGCTTGATCCTCGCGTCGACTCTGAACCCCGAGGCGGTTTAGTGGGGTCTACGAAGGAGCCATCAAACAACATATCTGAAGGTGTACCAGCTAGCAATGATCCTTTTGCTAGGGCCAGTGACGATTCGCGTACTCCTGTCACTGCCAAACATGACTTCGACTCGGCTTTTTCGGGTTTTGGGGACGATGTAGAAGCGCCAAAGCAGAGTGATAGGAGCATAACAGCTAATGGCTTTGAGTCGGCCGAGCCACCCAAGTCTCATGGCGAGTTTCCTCCGATCCAGGAGTTCGGTGCAGAAGGTGAGAGTGATAGCGATGAAGATCCTGGCTTTCGTGACAACTTCACAGCTCACTCTGCCAATCGCGCTGCGGAGTCTGGACCCAACCAGGCCTTACAGGCTCCACCTGCATCCGATGGTATCGGGATGGCGCCAACTCGTCCTCCTTTTGGTTCTACTGACACCAATACCAGTCAACTGCCCACGCCTGGCGCTCAGACATCGCCACCAACATATGATCAGACAGTGGGATCTCCACTTGGTGAAGCTGGTCATCGCAAAGAGTCGAACCAATTCCCGGCAGAGTATAGCGGCCTACTACCTTCACGTGCTGATCCTACCTCGTCTACAAACTCGCCACCTCTGCAATCAGCTGCCGCATCGCCCGTTGCCTCAACAGCTGGCATTGATAGAGGCCTGAACTTCTTCGGCGAAGACACAACGGAGCAAGCAGCAGGCCATGCCACCATCGGCTCCTCATTCTCACACGACCATTCCCCAATGTCTCCGGGCGCCTCAACAGCCGCACCTTATGCCTACACTCACACATCATCGCCGCCACAACAGCAATCCCAGACTACTAATCCTCCAGTCCCAGCCAAAGCTCCCATGCACGACGATTTTGATGACGAATTTGGTGATCTTTCCGAAGCAAAAGAAGCTTCCGAAAAAGGCGATGATGACTTTACCTCTGCCCGTCACAACGATTTTGAAGATTTCAACCCCGTGTTTGACTCACCCGCGGCATCGCGTCATACAGCGCAATCCTCAAGCACGTTCCCCAACAATGACTCCTTCGCGGATTTTGAATCCTCCATGACGGGCGCCGGTTCCTCTTCGCGTCAACAACAAGGGGTACAACAGACACCATCACATGACTGGGATGCGATTTTCTCTGGATTGGACACGCCGCAGAACAATGGCGTGCCAGGTGGACATGGCAATGGGTTTCCCAGTCCGCCGAGGGAGCAAAGTGGGAAGGCCGCAGAGAAGCCGGCAACGAAGAGGACGATGACGGAAGATACAACAATGGACGATCCGATTTTGAAGGACCTGACTGGGATGGGGTATCCGAGAGGAGAGTCATTGCAGGCGTTGGAGAGATTTGATTATAATCTTGATAAGGTACGGTGATCGTCTACCTGTACTGCGAAGAATGGCGGTTCTAACAATGGGTCCGTAACAGGCTGCAGATTTCCTCGCCTCCAAGTCGTAATACGAACTGGGGGACAATCCTTTGCATAGCCTCTACAAACGCTACTTCTGGACAGATGCAAAAGCGAATTCACACATTTCTTTCTTACCATTACTTAGCGAACGCAAATTGCATTTGTACAATGCCAGAATGGTATCAATCAATGTACAGCAGTTCTCGTCAACACCTCTTCTAGCATTGCGGCAGCACGGCGGATATTTTTTGTCTCTATGTCACGCCCGTTGTATGTATGTACCAACACTCGTTTGTGCTGCGGTCTTGATCACGGCCACTTGAACCTGTTTTATCAAAGACAAAAGATCTAAGCTATTGATCGAGCGAATGTATTCATGCATGTTAGACTGTCTACTTAGCGATCAAGATAAGAGGGATCCGAGAGATGACCATGAAAGGCTACGTACGCGTGGTCGGTTCTGGGTGGGAGGGACTTTAAGGGCTAAAGTGGGACCATGTTCGGAGCTCTCCTGGTCCTGTGTCCAGTCTCTATAGAATGCAGTATTTACTCCGAAAATGCGCACTAGATGCTAATGCTTCCGCTCAAATATCATATCAGGAGTCCAAGCTCTGTGCACGATTTGAGTGATACAAAATGCCGTAGCAGCCTTCTTCGGATACGACTGCCTGGTTGGGAACGCACCTTCCTAATGCATGCGGCTGGGTACTTCTCCTTTCTTGGAGTTGCAACCCCCTCCTCGCCTTCAACCATCAACATCATCCATTGACAACATATCCATCAAACAGTCAACGGAACTCTGCTTGGCGAAGACATCAACATTCGATGATCATCACTGTTGTCTATACCTATACCTTTCCGATGACCAATGAAAGACCTCACAGACTGGCAAGGCTGAGTTTCAGCCTGATCTGAGGGAGGTGAGCAGATTTAATTCCCTTGAGCATATGATACACATCTAGAGCTTGCTCACCTTCAGCTAGAAAGCACTCAAGACTTCTACCTCCCCATCCAGCGATCACTTCAAATCGTTGCGCCTAAAAGCAGCACCGCTCTCAAGCCCATCTCCCCTTCGATCCCAATACCTATACAAGACAAATTTGCTTCGGAGCCAGTACCATCAAGACCATCGTCGACGTCACCAGCGGAGTGTTGAGGACTGGCGGATAACTATGGCCGAAGCTTCGGGCACATCCTCCACAGGAGGCACGTCGAAAGGAAAAGAAGACCAATTACATGTTAAAGAGCTGGGGCTCACACAGATTGATGGGCACCCAGAAGATCATCCGTTTGTCGCCGATGTGGTATTTGTCCATGGTCTGCAGGGACATCCCCAAAGAACGTGGCAGTCGAAGTCGAACCCCGATTCCAGCATCAGGGCTCGAAAATTTCGTAGACTCTTTTCCCGGAAAGGCACGGAAGCGATAGCTCATGATGACCCCAAGCCGTTCTGGCCAGCGGATATACTTCCTCAGGACCACAAGGATGTCCGGATACTAACATTCGGTTATGACTCGAAAGTGACGAAAGCGTTTATGGCCCCGACAAGCAAGAATGGCATATTTCAACATGGCAATTCATTTCTGAGAGCTGTAAGCCGTGCCCGAGTCGGCTGTCGTCAACGTCCAATTGTGTTGGTAGCACACAGTCTAGGCGGCCTCGTCGTCAAACAAGCCTTGATTGAGGCGCAGAAACAGATCCATGATCCTGGCTTACTCGATATTAACGATTCTACTCATGCTATCATATTCTTCGGTACCCCACACAGAGGTTCAGATCTCGCGTCATGGGGTCTCCTGCTGAGTACCGTTGCTAAGGTCGCTCAATTCGACACGAATGAAGCCGTCCTCAGAGATCTGGATCCTATGAGCGGGAGCTCCAAATTAGAGGAGATGAGACTGGATTTTGATGATATACTGCAGGACAGTCAACGATTGAGAGAGTTGCATGTATACTCGTTCCAAGAAGAGGAAGGTATGACGGGTACCAAGTTGTTTGGCGGTAAGGTACGTTCATTCGCATATGTCCCACGCGCGCGGCGCGCGCTGTCATGCAAAGCGAAATTCGCAGCGATTTCTGCCCAAATATTCAAGTATGATCAGTATGAGGACAACTTCCTTCGATTAACAAGCACATTCGTATGACACAGTATCCACACGTTCGCAAGAGTACAGCCAGGGCGTTCACGCCGAATGGTTTGGTGGATAACGTTCTCGGCGTCTAGATTGCTAGAGCGTTGTTCAGACCAAGGTCCTCCTTTTGTCGCCTATCTTTCCTGATGTATCAGGCAGACAGATCGTTGCGATTGCCACTATTCTTGACAGCTTGCATAATTTTAGCTCAGATACATGTGCTAACGACTCGAAGGTTGTCTCAAACGAGTCGTCATCCCTGGACTCTCGAAAATACGGTAACGACACCATTCATGCAAATCACATGAACATGTGCCGCTTCAGCACAAAAGACGACGACGGCTATGAAAAGTTTTCTGCCGTCCTTGCAAAGTACATTAGCGAAATAAAGACCAAACAGTCCGAAGCGAAGAATGCACGGAACAATGGTCAGTCCTCACCGGATCTATGGTTTGAGTCTCCTAGTATTGACGGCTCTCATAAGACTAATGCTCTTCTCTTTCAGATATTCTGACTGGACTCGATTTTGCAGAGCGCCGGGCACGAGAATATCAACTGCAGAACTTCGACACGAAACAAGAAACCTTCTCTTGGATCTGGTCATCATCTTCGTTCGTGGAGTGGCTTTCAAGCCAGGACGGAGTGTATTGGATCTCCGGCAAACCTGGAAGCGGGAAGTCGACTTTGGTAGAGCATCTCGTACATCATGACCGGACGAAGCTAGAATTGCAAAAGCGGATACGTCTACATTTTTTTTTCGATTTTCGTGGGGGTAAAGGTATCAACAACAGCTTTGAAGGCTTACTCAGATCCCTTCTCTACCAGCTCTTCAAAGCGATGCCCCAGCTTGAAACACTGGATCCAGATGACAGTAAATATGACTCCTTCTCCAGCTGGCCTGAACGTAAGCTCCGCGATGCTTTGCGTACATCACTTGGGAAAGCCAAGGAAGGAGTGTGTATCTTTGTGGATGGGCTAGACGAATATGAAGGAAGTCTCCTAGAACTCATCCAATTTCTCAAGACCTTAGCTACAAGCGACAACAGTCAGGATACTTCGATCAAAGTTTGTTTGTCAAGCCGTCCCGAACCAATACCTTCACAGTTTCTGCAACATCTCCCAAATCTATCCATGTCAGATCACAATGCATCGGGAATTCAATCGTACTGTCTTTCAACGCTTGAGGAGCTGGAGCCGAAGGTTCTTGAGGGTTTGAACATTTTGCAGGTGTCTCATACTATTGCAGAACGGGCAGAAGGCGTGTTTTTGTGGGCACGTTTCGCACTAGAGGAAATCATACAAGGTCATTCCAGTGGAGAAACCCCCAAAGAAATGTTAGTGAGACTGGACTCAACCCCTCATGATCTAGAAGAGATTTACGATCGCATGTTTCACCGTATGGATGCACCAGCTAAGGAAGAATGTATGATTATGCTACGGCTTGTTTGCTTTGCAAAGAGGCCGCTTGCATGGCAAGAGCTACTTGTGGCTACCGATATTGCCATGAACAAGGATGTGGTCGATAGTGAGCGTATCCGTGGCGATACAGACTCGGCAGTTGCGTCCAAAGTGTACAAAACTTTTACCCAAAGACTCCGTGCAAAAGCTGTGGGACTTCTGGAACTTGTCAAACAAGTCAAACAACAAACAGATGGGTTTGACGAGAGCTTTATTGCACCGAAATTGATACACAAAAGTGTAAGCACATATTTGGACCGGAAAGGATGGCAAACATTAGGAATGCTGCAAGAAGAAAGTATGATCCAACACGAGTCATTTTTCATCAAAACATGCACTCGGTATCTCCATCGTCTCCTGCGTCATTCCAAGTTGGGAAAGAACACCAGTCGTATCGTTTGGGAGGAATGGTTCGATAAGAATATTTCCTACCGGATTTCCAGGGAAGTATCTCAATGGAACGACTCGGCTGGCATGTATTCCTTCTTCACCTATGCTGCAGGCTATGTCTTTGAGCATGCAAAGTCCTTGGAGCGGCATGGGGTCTCTTCATACCCACTACTTGACAGTCATTTGACAGAGCAATTCTATCTACACGTTCTTAAAGTGAACAACTGGGAGCAGAGATCGACGATAGATGTTTGTCAGCCCTGTCTACGAGTACCCTGGAAATTATTGTTTGAGGACTTCGACGCCATCTGCGTGGCATCTCTCCATGGGCTCGAGGCGTACTGCCAAAGTGATTTGGAAACCAGATCACAAGCGCCTGGACAAACTTTTTGGGAACGAGCTTTGAGTTGTGCGCTCTTCGGGTGCTTCTCGCCGGAATTCTATAGAGATGATTTCAGATTCCCGCAAACAGTGACGTTAGCATTACAGAACATTACCACTGTACAGCAACTTCATCTTGAGCAGGCGCTCTCCCTCTTAGTGGGGACGTGGGGGTCCACACCCCATGCTGAGATTAGGAAGTTGGTGTTACAACACGAGTCCATAAAATCCCTCCAGCTTGTCGACCGTGATGGACAGGCCGTCACACTTCTTTGGTTACTCACTCAAGATGGCCTTCACCGCTTTTCGAAGGAGGCTTTTGATTTGTTGATCGAAGGAGCAAATCGCAGAGAAGAAGACGTGCGTCAACGCTGTGGCCCCGAGGGAAATTTGGTAGAGACGTTGCTAAAACAGAGTCCGACCCCTCAGAGGAAGGAAAAGCTGAGGTGGCTTTGCGAGTACTACGAATCAATGTCTTGGCCTTTTGAATACGATCTCGATGAAATCGAAAAAAAGGACTTAATCCTATACAAACACAATCTTTTTCGAGATTCAACTTCGAGGACTTCAAGAGGAAAAGCTCACCTCTCTGAAGGTCGAGCATGATAGCCGTCGATCCGGAAGGGTACCCACGTGCTGCGCGCTTGGGAAACAGAAGCAAATGAAAGGAAACACCCCGAACAGACGCGGAGCATCAGCCGGTGGATTCTTGACCGCTCCTGTCTGTATACTCTGCTCGACTCTTTTTTTTTGCCCGTCGCTCTTTTCTTTCATAAATCTCGCCTGCATGGCATATGATCTCCGATGACGATATTCTCCTGCAAGGAAACGGTAAATTGATCGAGGGGAGATTGGGTACATTGGATGAAAGGTTTTATTCTTCTGGATTTGGGAAGGGACACGTTTGCTTGCTTGCTTGCAGGATACAATAATAGCTATGGGGTTTCAAGTCATCAAATGCCATTCTTCTTTTTCCTTTGAACAAATTGCTATGGAAATGCCGGAGCTGTAGAACTGAATACAAATCTATGAGAGCAAGTCTGTGGAGATGCTCTCCCAATGTCACAATTCGCTTAATATCCGCCGAACGCCTGCGTACGGACCCTGGAGTAGATCCTCTCAGTTATCGTCACACGTTTCGCATGATCGTAGTAAAATATCATGACAATTCTAGCCTAAGACCAAACAAACAATCATTCAATCAAGCCTCCAGGGTACATGTTGCGCGCCGCCTGATGGCTGCTGCTGCTGCTGCTGCTGCTGCTGCTGCTGTGATTGCCCTTGCCCTGTCGGCGGCCGCCCTTGTCCTTGCCCAAACGGCGAAGCGCCCTGTAGATACCCTCCATGCGAAGGATCATGATAGCCCTGTCCGTAGGCGTGGCCACCACCACCGCCATGTGCACCTGGGTAGCCTTGTCCCTGAGCGGGATAATCGTCTTTCGAGGGAGGTTGTGGTGGGTAGGGGTTCTGGCCGGGGTAGCCTGAGCCAGACGACGACGGGCGAGGAGGGTACTGGCTAGGCGTCAGACCCTGCTGGCTTGGGTGGGAGCCCATTGGTGGTGCGGGTGCGTAGGGGTTGTAGGAGCTTTGTTGTTGGGATGGATAGGCTGGGGTGTTCTGAGGGGGTGGAGGATAGCTGTTTTGTGTAGGGGTGCCGTAAGAATTTGACTGCGCGGGTTGCGGCGCGTATTGATTATAGGTTGGAGGTTTGCCTTGTGGTTGGTATGGAGAGTTCTGCTGGCCGTAGTTCGAAGTTTGTGGGGTGTGCTGCGAAGGAGGGTAGGGTTGGGTTTGCTGGCTATAGGCGGGTGTGGACGCGTGAGAGCTAGCATAGGAACTGGAAGGAGGACCTGAGAAGGACTGGTTTGGTTGACCATAATTGCTTGGCGAATTATATTGCCCAGCAGCTGGACTGGAGGATGATGCGTCTTGTGGGCCGTAGCTATCGTGTGGCGGCTTATGATTGGCGTGGTGACCGTGATGACGACCATGATGTTCGCTTGAAGGACCTGGAAAGGACTGGGTCTGTGGTTGGCCGTACGTATTCTGCGAAGCTTGCGTCTGCTGTCCATACAGCGGTGCGCCTGGGCCGTATTGGTTGCCCTGACCGTATTGTGAAGAGCCAATGTGGCCTTGAGCAAGCTGCATCGACTGTATCGTTTCCATGGGCAGTACATTAGCAGATCCTTGTTGTCCTGAGGATTGGTATGACGCTGGTGGAGCTTGGGATGAGTAGCCACCACTGCTGTTCAAGCCTGCATGCTGTGCTTGTTGCTGCTGCTGCTGGTGCTGTACACCCGAAGATCCGTGCTGGCCGGGCGCCTGGTATGATGCTGGTGGAGCTTGGGCTGAATAACCACCGCTGCTTGAGCTTTGCCCACCAGAGGAGTACCCGTAGCTGTTGTTCTGACTCTGCGAAATCAGTTAGCATCTATCGACATCAGCAGAGATTCGCGAGGCTTACCGAAGAGCCATGGTGACCTCCAAGGAAGCTCATGAAACCACCACCGGATTGCTGAGCGGGCGGCTGCTGTTGTGGTTGTTGTTGCTGCTGCGGCTTTCCACCACCATCAAAAAAGCTACCCACCAGCTGTCCCGCAAGACCACCAATGCCGCCAGAGCCACCACTGGAGTTTGAGCTCTGACCAGCATGCTGCCCCCCTAGCAGAGAGCCCGCAAGTCCAACGAGAGGCGATTGGTTCTGGGGCTTATGTTTTCCTCCGGTGATTGCGTTCATCGCAAGATCCTACTCATCGCAGAGTGTTAACCCAATTCTCACAGTTCAAGCAGTGTCCACATACCCCTAATAGACTCCGATCTTTTTCCTCATCCTCTGCTGTTCCATCCACTTTCACCGCGGGCGGCTGTTGGAAAGGATCTGTGTACTGCTGAGGCGTAGGGTCAGGCGTGGGAACAGAAAGCGCTGGCTGGGTTGGCACGTCCCATTGTGAGTGGCCTGTTGCTCGCTGCACGTAGTAGTATTTTCGCGATTGACCTTCCCATTGTGCTAGCCTGTAGACCGTCAGATACGACTACGGGTAACAGCGACGAGTGAGATGTACCAGCCTTCGGGAAGAGCTGGAGGGCCCTTGTCGGGCCCCTCCTGGTTGGTAGGCGTTGGTGGGCGTGTCATGCTGAAAATAATCTTGTTATGGGAGGAGTAAATAACAGTGCACGAGAGAGGGTCTGTGGAATCGAGGAGCGTCAGTGAGATGGTCGAAGCCGTTCAGTTGGTGGTGTGATTTGTGGCTGCGTAAGCCCTAAGGTAGGGGGATGGCCCTAAAAAGAGGCCCCGGAAAGTCGCCGGGATCGGGCCTAGAATCGTTGAAGCCGGGCCGAGGCCCCTAAAGCTACATGTACCTTACAGTGATGTCTTCTAAGAATTTACATATCAAATTATAGCAACAGCAGCTCACATGTAGGAAGTTTGCGGAGTAGCACATCTAAACTGTACGATTTGGCCCATGTAAGCACGCTGCCCCAACCTTTCGGAGCCCTTACGATCCTGCTTCGAATACAGAGGTCTACACCGAAAGTCCTGCACCCGCACTAGTACAGCCCTAACCCTACTTTCAAAAAGCGGACCTATAGAGGGAAGCCTAGAAATATCTTCTCACAGCGCATGAATAGGACTTTAGATACTTCTTTTGGCTTGATAGGGGCATTAAGCCCCGAAACCTAGCTAGAGCTAGGTGCGATTCCGAAGAACTCTAGACGCATTGTCCAGGTAGCCCTTTAGGTGGGGCGTTATCCGAAGTCTGAGCGCAAGAGTCTTGGCGGGTGCAGGACTTTCGGTGCAGACCTCTGTAGTCTCTCACCAAAGCTTCTCTTCAGCCCCAAGGACTCAGGGTGTGCTCTGCCCTTGAATGGACCTTTGTAGAAAGACCATGTAGAGGTGTCTGCCAGCTGAGAAGCTAGAAGTATTTTTGAGGGCGAGTTTGGAGGATTTCTGTTGGTTTTCTGACTGTATCGTCAACAGGGTGGACGAGAATGTACAAGTAGGAGGAGAGGGCATCAATAGCAAAGCAAAGATACATTGAGCTTCGAGGCATAGCTTTGGGCGCAAGGCAAGCAGTCTGCTCCAAGCCTGGTATTATGAGGAGGGATCAGAGGATCATGAGCAGGGAATGTTGGGACTCAGCTCTGTAAAAAGCTGTCCAATGGCTGTCCAATGGTTGTGAATTGCTTCTTCTAAAGGGGGAACCCCGGGTACGCTACTAAGCGAGCGGAACGGCACCCGTCGCTCGAGGTCAAGCATTTCTTCTTCACTTCATACCCCAGATCAGTCCCCGGACATAAGGCATAGCAGTCTTTGTTTGTTACAGAAGATGAGTAGAAAGACAGGAGGCTCGACAAGGAACGACAAATTAAAAGGAAGATATGAAAGGGAGAAGACAGTCTGAAGAGGCAAAGTCTCAGAAGACAGACAGTCTTGCAGCATTGAGAGTGGACCCCCACAGGGTTTGCTTTTCATCGAGACCAAACAACATACATGAGACAACTCTAAAGGCTCAGAGGTAAGTTGCGCATCCAGAGCGAGGCCATCAGTTCAATGATGTACACACTTTCAAAGAATTATGGACCATGAACTGAGAACCTGCAACAACCATTCCTTCTTCTGGACCAACCCGCCGTCCTGAGCAAGCGAAAAGAAACAGCCCCATGAAAATCCCTCTTGTCACACCGCGTGCTTTGGCAACCAGGCTGCCATGGGACCGTCGGGCTTTCTAGGTTGTGGAAGGCGAGTAAATGCATTGGTGGTAGTGATGATCAAGGAGGTCATGGGTCGAATTGTTTGCACCGATCAGAATCAAGAGCCCTCGACCTTGGCTGCAACGTTGCCCTAGGCACTGCAACAGCATGCCGTTCGAAGATTGTTGGATTCCACGGATCAAAGCTCTGGCTGGGGTCGAAGACCCTATGACCTGACGGAGCAGTTGAAGTTGCTGCCTTGTCGACCACTGAAGCCTGACTGGTACTAGGAAAAATTTCAAGTAGGAACTGGAAACCTTGTCGCCTAAGCGAGGAGTGGAAGTTGGTGACTCATTGACCACTGGTGACTGGCTAGGAGTAGTGACGAAGTCGGTGCCTTAACATGCTCCAGTGGCAGGTAGACGGATTTGGGCTGTAGGTGTCGAAATTGATGCTGGTGTAGGTGCAAACCCTGAGCCTTGCAGTGATCAGGCGATGGCAAGGAGGCAGCGACGGTGCGATTCTAGTAGGCAGGAAGAGGTCAGTGTACACCCATGATATACCACAAAAGACGATCACGAGTTAAATGTCACTGACCCCATAGCTGTCTTTCCTCCTAGTCCTTGTCCGCCATCCTCTCCATCATCCCGTTCCCTTGAATCGATCATAATTTTGGAGCGCTTGAATAAGATCGGCCTTGCTGCATCGGTCTTTTCTGAAACGAATGCCGCGCTTCCCCATCATCTTTCTCAACTGATCCAAGTTCAAATCCCGATAGTCGAACATCAGTGGAGCTCCATGCATCTCAAGCAACTGGATGACCTCGGGTGTCCCCAACGCGATAGGACATTGGATGCCGTTATTCCTACATACAACCCGTAGTTGAGACAGGTGCAGATCCTGAAGGTCTACTGCTGGAACCGTGACTCGCTGTTGCGTATACCCTGGCTGCCATTGTGGCGCTTGTGTTCCATCCCAACTTGGTTGTATTTGTTGTGGAACGCCAAAGCCTGCGGCTTGTTGGTGATGTCCTGACGCAACAGCACCTGGATGATATGGCTGGAAGTTGCGATCCGCTTGTTGCTGCTGATTATACTGCAGAGCAACAGTTGAAGGTTCGAATTGAAACCCGTGACCAAAGTCCGCTTCCTGATGAGGGGAAGCAAAGGCTGGCTGCGCAGCTTGAAGGCCGACATGGGGCCATGGAGGGTTATTGCCCACGCCAGTGTACTGTGTATAGGATCCCGTCTGCTGGTTTTGAAAGCCGACATGCGGCCAAGAAGGGTTGGCGCCAATACCAGTATACTGTGTACGGTAATCCGTTTCCTGGTACTGAAAATCGGTATCCGACAGGAAAGGGTCGTTGATGATACCCGTAACAGGGTTATACAGAGGTTGATGCAAGGCAAAGTCTGTGTGTTGAGGTTCTTGGGAACCCTGGAAGCGCGTTTGTTGCGTATGGGAGCCATGGTACTGTGAGACTGGATAGCCGTAGGTCTCAGTATCTGGCGTTGGTCCTAACCCAAAGCCTGCTTGTTGGCCGGAAAGGCCATTCTGAAAATGTGTTGGTCGATGTTCATCTCTGGCTTGTTGCGAGTGGGGTTGGTTGGCATTCTGCGAGTATGGATAGTTGGACTCCATCTTGGGATTGGTGGGTAGGCGTGGGTTTGTAATTGTTTGCTGGTTTGAGAGACAACTGAGGCTGCAGGTGGATGTGGATCTTCGGCCGTGGTGTTTCTCGCTTAGTCGCGCGACGCAGTCTTGATAGAATTCCCTCCGTGTTTTCGCTGCTAATCACTCCGTCGAGTCTTCGAATACTATCATGAGTCGTGAATATCACACTTTATAGCAGCTGCTTTCTTTCTAACTGTCCCCCCTTCTACCATTTTCGGGCACGAGACCAACGCACTAAGACACCTTGGAGCTACCTGGTGCCTTCCGTGCAACTTTCACCCACACACCCACCGTTCCACCTCTGAGACGCCAGGCTGTACAGTCGATTCAGCTTTCAGCTATACACTGCTCCTCTATTTCCCTCGAAGTATTGCAAATCCTGCCCGCCAACACAAAGTCTCCAGCCAGAGGGTGATCAGAATCACTGCAAAATGTCGCATTTTATGAGGCTACCTATCGAAGTGCGTCTCATTATCTACAGTTACCGCCTCACAACTGGAAGATACTCCCATGGCTGGAGAAGCAGCGAGGGGAGGATAATAATGCCGCCTTCCTCAAAACGTACGGGGCCACACCATCCCTGAACATGATCGAACAGAAGAAGAAATACCCAGCTCTGTGCCTTGGCCTTCTAGAGGTCAATACCACCATTCACGCAGAAGCTGCACCAATCCTCTACGAAAGAAACACAGTGATTCTGCCCAATGCCCCATTGGCAGCGAAATTCTTCCTTGACTGCCTCGGTTCCGCCGAGAAAAGACTTTGGCTGAAAACATGTCGAGCTTGAGTTGTGTTTTTCGGATAGGCCACTCGATGAAAAAGAAAACTTGTTTCAGGCCAAGGGGTTGGATCTTCCACGTGGCCTGTAATCCAGCAGGTTCGTGTAGTGGGGTTCCGTAGGATGGAACGTTAGGAATCGGGCGCAAGGACCGCATGATAGCTAGGTACGCCATCTCACCGATATCATCGGGCCTACGAAATTAGCTCCCATCCTCGAAGACACCAAGCTCGACAGGCTCACCGTCAGGTTTGGGAACGGCTGGTGTCCGGCGGCCTGCTGCTTCATGGGCGGGAAAGCCTGTGCAACCTTCCAAACGGGGTTCGCTCATGGCATCGTGAAGCATATCTTCCTACATGACCTTGGAAAGTCTCACCATCCTGAGCCCGAGTTTTCCAGGAAAGGGGTTCGGGAGTTTGCTTGTATGGAGCTGCCAATATTGTCTGATGCAGATGGCGGGGAGGATGTGGGCAGATACGCTATCCAGATGGGAGAGCAGATTGCACGTTGGACGGGGGCCAGAGAGCTAGGAGTAGAATATGGAACCAGGATGTGATACCAGGCGGTGGTCAAAAGGCTGGAAGATGCGGAGATTGGAGTTGATGATGACGACGCAGGCTCCTGATAGAGGGATGGGAGGCTTGGAGGATCCCACTGCGCAGTTTCTTTGTGTATCAGTACTTGATATGTCTACCGTTGGTCGTGTAAAGAGGCTTCTAGTTCTGGTGCGAAGATACTGAAGGGCTTTGGCGAAAGTACAAGAGGACTAGAGGCCAAGCACAATATCCAATAATCAACGCCCCTCTCCTTTTCTTTGATCAATCATATTCTATGTATGTCAGCAAACTTCTGCCTCTTTGTCTTCTGCATATACATATAGAACAAGGTAGCGGTACCGTCAAAGGGTGCCGGTATGGAGCGGCTAGAGTTGTGTGGTGTAATTTTGTTCCAGGCCCCGCAGAATTGACTTCCTATGGGGTGAACATGATGTATATGCCATAGTTGTTTTTGCTTATCTGATTTGAGCATATACGCATTGAAGACTTTACACGTACTGGTTAGAATTTGAGTCATATACAATCCCTCCACTCTAGTTCCGCGGGAAGACCACAACGCTCTTGGTTTTCCCCGGATATGTTTCACTTCCAGAGCTTGTGAAGTCGAAAGTCTGTGGATCATGAGCCTTGGATAATTGACTATGAGATGGATACCTTACAATTTGTATTGACTGCCTTGTATCTCGAGCTTAGAAGCCTGCAGACAAGATCTCGAGGGGAGGTGGTGTCCAAATAGACGAGAAACAAGTTGATTGAGGTTTGACTTGAATTTACCTTTCCATAAACTATGACTTCCTTGTTTCCAGCACCTTCAACGACTTCACTTCCACACTTTTCCACTTCCAAGCTCAACGATACCACTTGACTTTCTAACACTCTTTCCATAGAACTCGCCGCATCCAAGATGGACCAGGTCAACGATTCAAATTTCCCGTTTCTGAGGCTACCATCGGAAGTTCGCAATAAGATATATCGCTATCTACTTTCCACGAAGCATACGAAACGTATCTCGGCCTTGGGTTATGAAGTAAGCATCGCAAGTTTCTCCCGCCTTTTCATCGTCTCTATTGCTTCGCTCTAGTATTCTTCTCTCGCTGATCCGCCTTAGGAATGTGTACCTACCTTCGTCAAGTTGTGCCCTAGCCACCGCTACGAATTCCACACCACCATCCTTTTGGGGAATCATCAACTCTACGGCGAGGCCGCTTCGATTCTCTACGGCGAGAACTTGTTCATCTGCTTGGCTACCAACCTAAAGGCAATCCAGCGCCTATGTTACAACGTCGGTCTAAAGCCCGTATCATATGGCACGAGAGCAGCAAAGTGGAAGCACATCGCTATGTCGATTGTATTCAGCCAGGACGGAGACGATAGCAAGAAGACCCTCCGCTGCGTCTTCGCCTGCGATGATCTACACCTCCTTTGCCGCGGCTTCTTGGGTTTCGGCATGAATGATGGTAACGGCCTTGCCTTTCTGCAGGACTTGAGATTTACAGTCACCATACATGGCTCCTCCGAAGCGCAAATCCATGCTTTGCGCTACGGCACACCATCAGCTTCATCGAAATTGTGTCGGCTCCTTGAGCCTTTTACCAAACTCCATAGCATAGGGCGTTTCACTATCATCGGCCTGTTCAACGGAGAATACCGGGCTTACATTGCTGGGCGAGTTACAGGCTCAGCCCCGAACCTGGAATCGGCCATTGAGGGAATTGTTGCTCTCAAGGACGAAGGCAATGTTGCTTTCTGCAAAAACCAAGACGCTCTTGCAATCGCCAAATACGAAGCAGCCCTAATATCTCTACTGACCAGTTTCTGGGACCACGCCACCATCCAAACGGGAGAATTCGCCAATCTGATGAGATCCAATGCTGCATGCATCCTGTACTTCCAACTCCAATCCAACCTCGCCGCCACACTACTGAGGACGGGAAGGTTCGTCGACTGCCATTATTGGGCAGGCCATGCGTTCGCACAAACGGCGACAGAGAAAGCAATGGTTCATCGGAAGCCCGCGGAGTACTCCGAGCTGGCTATTCTTCAGGCATTGGCCAGCAAGGGTATGGGCGAGATCGAGCGAGCAGCAAAGGAAATGCGCACGGCCTTGATTTTCGAGTCTGAAAATGCTACGGCGAGGAAGGAGTTGGTCGATTTGGAAGCGGAGGTGGAGGTGAAGAAGAATCAGGATCTTGCGTTCGCTATGGGAGGGTAAGCGAGGTGACTGAGCAGGCTGTGTACAAAAGGGACAGCGAAAGCTTACAACTCGTTTATCTCTAATATCCCCCTGAATCTCATTCACCTCCCGCCATAGGGAGGCTCCAGGCCGTCGAGCTGCGCCCGTATCAAGCTCTGATAGCATTTCATGTTCGCCACAATAGTAGAAATCCACCAAGAGTTCCTGAATCAACTCCTCAAGACGCCTGTTCCGTCGCTAATCATCGTATAACGTCACTGCTTAGCATAATCGTATGTGGAGACCTAAGAAACTAAGTCCATCTTTTAGCAAGTTTGCTGTATGTGGGTTTCTTGTTCTTACATGTTTCTCAATCAAAAAGACCAGAAGAGTAAAAGACTGAGAAAGGCAAACATCGAGATATGAACATCGCCAATGAAACAATGTCTGTCCAATGGAATTTTGGTTCCCTTTTCAGGACCAAGCACCTCCCTTTTTTGTGTCTAATATATATATAGAAACATCAGCATGGCATAAGTAAAGAATTTAGAGTACCAGAACTGCGCTCTTCCTCGAACAACCTCCCGGCCAAAGATGTCCAATGATCGTGAATTGCTCCTTTCCACGGTTAAATATCGGATACGCGATTTTAGCTCGCCCGTAGGCCGTATTTTAGACCTCCGCACAATCCCGACCGTTGTCCAAATTCACAGTGACGAGCCATCCAAAGACACCAGTGACAGCACTCTGTAAAGGCCAAAGACTTGCTTACGATGAAAGCTTTCTGACTTGGAGGGTATATGTCGTGCAGCATGGTAGGTGAAACGAGGACTGCCGCTGATGATGGAAGAGAAGCAGCTTGGGCAGGAAAGGTGGCGATTGAGCTACCAAGGTCGGGCATACAAAGAGCTTGCGGTCCTCGCGTAGCTTTCGATCCTACTTGGAAGGGGTTGCAGCAGAGAATTATTCGGATCTATCAGCAGCGGAAGATCATAAGCAAATGGCTTTCCTGATTTTCGAAGCAAGCAAGGTTTCTATGCCCTTAAATTCCAAAGGTCTGGATAACATAAGCCTGATAGAGGAAGAGAGCTCGGAAAATTCGGCCACCAAGGGATGAAAATAATGCAAAAGTTGAGCAGGTCAGGTCTTCTGATCACACAAAGCACCTTTTAGTCGCTTGTCTCGCCATTATTGGTTCAGCTGACCGCTCGATTTCCACGGACAACAAGATTGAAGGACGACACATCATGAGCTTCGGCAACCTCGGACCTTTGTTCCATAAGGCAAGAGCGAAGATAATTGCAGCAGCGAGATATCCCCCCCTTCGCAGTCTTTGCTGTCAATATCTTCAGACGAAGCTCTAGAGCCTAGCCTGCAGAAACCCCTGATGGCACACTCTCCTGAAACCCTCAGCCTCCGCTAGGTAATCCTCACTCAGAAACATCAGGTGAGCTTTGAGCCACGGCCTGAGAGGCATCAGCATGTGGAATCCTTCCTAGGACAATGGCCCCTTGCTAGACTGTCTGCCAAAGAGTGTTTCCTTACCGGCCTTGTAATCTTTCAGGTACTATTTGAACACTACTCAGCACCAACTAAAGTGGTAGGGACCTCAAGGCGTTCCTGTTCTAAATCCAGCTAGGAATTCTTTATCGCAAGCTCAATCTCGGCGAATTGGATCTCAAATTCGTAACGACTCATTATGGGCTCAGTCGTGTCGTCCCCATTCTTGATGTCTTCCAGGTATCTGTCGTACGGTATTGACTCGTACATGGCGTCATCACATGCACCGTTGTACTGTTCCAAAGATAGGGCCCCCATGTCGGTACCTCCGTTTTCCTCTCTGTGACGTTCGAGGTATTGCGAGTAGTCCGTGAACTCGTTCGTCATCTCTTCCATTTCCGTATCCGACTCTGTCTCTGTCACCTCTTTCACAGGTTTGCCTTTCGTTGGTTCGCTCGTCTCGAAAGTGACCTTCTTCTTGTTTTTCTGTCCCCTATGTATTGTCTTTATGGGGGCGTTTTGTTTGGCTTGTTGAATCAGAACACCCTTTAGATGCGAGCATGGGAGGCCGTTTTCTCTGCTCCACTCTTTCAACTCCTTTTTGGACATTGAGTCAAAGTCGATTGCTGCTGGAGTTGTGTGTGTCGGAGGCGTTGGTTGCGGCTGTGCAGTAAGCAGCTTTGCTCTGTGTTGTGATGGCTCATCGCTACCTGTCTTCAGCGGCCGAAAGGCAGGTTTTGGCTGCCGTTGTAGGACGTGGTGTTGACCAAATGTTGCCCCTCGTGATTCGAATGGCTGCTGACTTTGGGGTAGCGGTTGACCATACCCCGTCTGTTGAGGTTGGCTACCATGTCTTGGATGCTGTTCGACGACATGTGGATGGCCGTAGACTGCCTGCTGAGGCGGAAAGCCAAGATTTGACTGTCGATTCTGCAATCTGGGCTGGCCCAGGCCTCCATACGGAGGCGGATGGCCATAGCTTGGTCGTGGTTGTAGGCCGGGGTTTGACAGCACATGTGGCTGGCCAAAGTCTATCTGCGGTGACTGAGTGCCATAGTATGATGGCTGGTATTGTTGCTGGTGTTGGTGCTGGTAAGAGTGCTGTCCGGGCATTTGACCAAAACCAATCTCGGAAGATTGAGAACCATAAGATGGCTGATGAGGCTGCAAGTGTGATGGAGGATAGCCGTGCTGTTGAGCTTGAAAGGTGTTCGAAGGGGCCGTCTGTCGGTCCTCAAACCCGGTGCGCTGCGAGTGTGATGGAGGATAGTCGTGCTGTTGAGCTTGAAAGGTATTGGAAGGGCCAATCTGTTGGTTCCAAACTCCGGCACGCTGCGAGTATGATGGAGGACGGCCGTGCTGTTGAGCTTGGAAGGTATTGGAAAGGCCAGTCTGTTGGTTCCAAACTCCGGCACCCTGCGAGTATGATGGAGGACGGCCGTGCTGTTGAGCTTGGAAGGTGTTCGAGGGGGCCATCTGTTGGTTCTCGGATCCAGCACGCTGCGAGTAAGAATGTTTGGCAGCGTCGGTAGGCAGTGAGTATGCGTTGGTGTATATGTTTTGATCCATTCTGATCTGGTGCGCAGGTTTTGGATGGGGTGCTCTTGGTTACTGAAAGCGATGTGAGGCCGCACACAAGATTCCAAAGCTAGTGCGCGCTAGTATGCGCTAGTGTGGACCAAAGAATTGGAAAGAACTTTTGTGGCCTTTGCGGAAGAGCTTTCCGATAGCTTCAGGATCGGACGAAGATAAGGTGTCCTCGTAGACCACCGTCCCGGCCTCGAACTTTACGGCTTTACAAGTGCGCAGGAGTGAGAGGTAAGGGAGTGATAGCTTTGTTTCACTTTCTGAATACTGAGCTACTTCTCCAACGAATACAGATAGCCGTAGGCGATACGACGGAGCTCCAGCGGAATTTTTTGAAGAAGGGAAAGGTGGAGTTATCAGAGGTCAGTATTTATGTATATATAATGCTCAAGAAGGTTTATTTTCCATTCATGGACTCGATCTCAGTCGTGTTCGTAAAGATGCTCATATCTTCCGCTTCTGATTGGTACTGTCTGTTATGACAACAGGTATATAGAAACAACTGTCAAAAAGTTGAGGGCGATGATCAAGATGGGTGTTGATGAAGATGATGGAAGGTAGGACAAGTCAGCAATGAAGCATTCGGTCAGGGTCTCGTGCCGGTATTGCCGACTGGAGGATTCGAGGACTGCCAACCCCCAGTCTATTCGCAGTGATTGTGGTATGAGGAGCCAAAGGTCATAAGTATCTCATAAATGCACCTGCCCTACCAAAGTATGACACGAGTAGCCGTTGTCCCACGCCACCACCCCTTTTTTCCCACATTCCTAGGATAACACTTTCCAATCTCAAACACTGCCCTCGTCCGTAGTTCCGCGAGCGGCTGAGCACTATTCGCATTCAACTTTGACGGCCTGCCTACTCGCTTCGGGGGGCTGTGGAGCAGCGGGTGCGGTTAATATACTTCACTTATCAGCGTAACTAATGTCAACGACGAATCATCTCGCTGCATTCAGAGATTTTAGATTTTCAAGACGGCCTTTTTGGGTAGGACATGATACCTGAAATCGAGGTAAAAAACAAGGGTTGTTGAACTCTCAGGTCTTCTTCAGTTTTATGAAAACAGAGAGAAACGATCATAAGAAGAAGAAGAAGACATCGGCTGACCAGTGAGTTGAGCCCATTTTCATTGCCAACCCATATGATGCGATTGGTTCTGGGGCACCAAAGTAAAGCATCATACTGATAAACGTTACTCAATCGCTCACAAGCTTCACCAGTTGAATCAAAGCAGTTTGTCAAGCATAGCCAGGAATGGTACTTTGCTTGCAAGAGTATTGAAGTCTGACACAAGTCGGTGTCTCTTCTCCATTAGACTGTGAAGAACATACACGGCTAATGATTGTTGTTCCGAGATCCTAGATACCACAGTGATAGATTTCTCTGTAGATCACATGTATCTGGCCGCCTGTTCCGAGATCTCATTGGCCTATCATGCCGCCATTGGCCCAGAGTGAATTTTGCCACCCAAATTTGATCCTAGAACTAGCCGTTTTGCGCCGTGATTGGTATCTCTCTAGACCGCTATTTCTTAACGCAAACGGCCAGAAGTAATGCCGAATCTAATCTCTCGGACGTCTCTTGCTTTCACTGTCTTTCAAAAACTTTGCTTCATCGACGGGTACCCCTGAAATCTTCCAGTCGTCGAGATCAAGACCAGACATGGGCACTCAGAAAGGTTCCAACACGAAAAAGGCATCGGGATCTCCCTCAGCAAAGCACGGGATTACCACAAACCCCAAGCATGTCACCAGATCACCTCGTCTTTCACCACTCAAACGCTCAAAAGCGCCAGAGTCCACCTTGCAGCCCACTGCATCGCCACACTTCCCTCTTCCAGCTTCCATCGTCAATTCAGGACAAGCCCAAAAACATTGGCAAGAATGGGAGCAGCAGCTCCTGGTCTCGCTGCGCCAAAAAGGGAAGACTAACCGCGAAATCAGCAAACATTTGCCCGGTCGATCCAAGAGAGCCTGTCAGGAACAATTGCTGAAATTGCTCAAGCACGGAGAGCAAAACCCCTATCCTCTACTGGAAGATGATCGCGCGGAATTCCGGGCTCTGAAGAATATGAAGAGATGGAAGGATTGGGAAGATCAAATCATCATCAGTAACTACAACGCGGGCAAGAGTTGGGGAGAAATCAGCGAGCTACTGCCTTCCCGCACAGAAAAGGCGACATTAGCGCGATGGAAACAACTTCCGAAATTCAAATCCCCAAACCCACCGGAAAGTAAATGGAGTCAATATGAAGATCGGCTCCTGGGGTCTCTTCGCACCGCAAGAAAAGACTGGGCGGAAATCGCTCAGCAGATTCCAAACCACTCACGATACGGTTGTAGGCAACGTTGGACCCAAGATCTGCATTATCACTCGTCAAAGAAATGGACGAAGCAAGAGAAGGAGACACTCATGTCTCTGGTCAAGACGGTTGGGTATCGTTGGTACGAAATCGCCAAGTTCATTCCTGGCCGAACGGGAGTTGCCTGCCGATGTTGTTACGTGCGGTATTGGGGTGAAGAAGACGGAGAGGGTGGGCCATCGCCGGAGGATTGGATAGATATTTGGGACAGTGAGTCGCTTGTTCATCGATTACAGACCGAGCTGACGACTTCAGACCCTCCGAATCCTGAGGAGACCGATGGGGAGACCGAGATTGACTCTATGGAACTGGAGTCCACTGCTCGTGATGCGAATCAAGAAATGGACTTTGATGTCGGAGAGTCTGCCTCAGCTCCAGTCAACCCCGCGCCCACAGCCGAGAAAGATCAGTATAAGAGTTTCAATGCAAAGAAGAAGCAAGCGATCTATGTCCCAGAGATATGAGCGGATAGTGGGTCGATCAATCACCAGGATTTGCGAGAGCCAACACGATACACGAGTCTCTGATGCTGATCAGACGTTGCAGATAACGGCAGCATGGTCTGTATCAGCAGTATGTAAGGCCAAGGTCGGGCACAGCAATGCTTTGAATGTTTGCACCCGGTTCCATGCGATGTACACTATCCCAGAACGGATTTCTGGCCATGATTGCCTATCACCAGACGTTAGCAATCCTCCTGAAGATTGACGATGAATCAATGCTTACCCTGGCCAAACTTTGTCTCCTTCATAGCAGGAGTTTGCTTCAGCAGAATCAAGGCAACATGACCGAATGCCTCATGGAATGTGTTATGAAAAAACAATGTCGTTTGGCTTGCTTTGGAGCTCTTTCAAAAGTGGAGACTTTCAGTCATGGGTATGAGAAGACAACCGTGGTTTGTTTCTCCATCACACATGTAAACTGGAGTCGCCAAGGAGCGAGTGCGCAGAAACGGCGTGGTGGTTTGTCCGCTCTGTCCGTTCGGAGGTTAGAACCGAGGTGGCACATGGAGAGAGGCCGAACCCCCCGTCTTGGACTTGACCTCTCCCAATTTTATGCCAAAGGCGATCGAGAGTAGCCAAAATCATATTGACCACGAAGGTCTGACTGCTGCTTGGTGGAACCGCTTATCTCCACGAAAGCTATTCGACAGTGGTACAAGGAAGTCACCCATAGACCCTCCCTCTTCGAAGTCCCTCGTCCAACCATGGCCACCACCGGTCGTACCCCTGACCACAATCCACTGAAGCGTCTCAAGATCGAGGACGAAAAAGATCTCATCAAAAACCTAAGTATTGCTCAAGCCTTTAGCACCGAGTACTCCAACGACGACCTTTCAAAGGCCATTGCCTTTCGCTATCCAGACAAATGCTCGACCATCCGAGGAAGCGATGTCCAATCCATCTTCAGCTACCTCGAAGCCAATCCCCACTGTAGTAGAGACTATGCTCGGTTCAAAAGCATGGCGGCACGAAACAAGTATGGCAACGGCATTCGAGAGGTCCAGGACGCCTTGAGAGAGTGGGACGTCGACATCGATATGGCGAAGCGCAAATAACGATGCAGTGTGCAATGCTCGCAGGTCTGTATTGAGAAGCCCCAGATATAGGGGCTCTACTGAGGTGCTCTTCTTCCAGACCTAGATCTCTATGCCGGTCTGAAAGTACAAGTCGGGAGATTCTGTGTAGAACCAGAATCCCTCGTCTTCACCATCGGGCTTTGAGTCGGAGTCGTCGAGATCTATGGAATCCCTGGCGTCCTCCGATGTATCGTTGTTTGTGGTTGTGGAAGGGTGGCAATGTGAGGATTGAGTGGAATGCTCAGATCTGCTGTTCAGGCTCTCGGATGGTTCCACTGAATTCAGCGCTGTGTTCAAGGAGGCTTCCATCTTCTCTGTGGGATACGATTCTTCCAATATGTCGGTAGTGCCTGAGGCGTGGGTACCAGGACTGCTTGCTCCTATTCCAGATAAATGAAGCAGGGTTTGAAGGCTCTCGGCAGGGTTCAAGTCGAGGCATGGTTTCCTCTGTTCGGCAAGAGTATCAATTGTCGCTGTGTCATTCCGGTCAAGCATGTTTTGGCTGGGTTTTTGTTCTTGTGCTCTGAATGGTCTCTTCGCGTATCCACTTTGAGGATCTTCCACCTTAGGGATCCAACGCTTCTTTCTCGGCTGCTCCTCAACCGTGTTCTCAATGTAGACCTGCCCTCTTTTTGTGGAACTGAGAAAGTCGTGTTGCTGCTTGTTTTGTTCATTGTTTCGTAATTGATGAGATGTCCATGCTTTGTTGGAGAAGATCATGTCATAGATTGACTCCGATATCTCTGCAGGCAAATTCTTGCCGGTTGCTACCTCGACCGCCAGTCTACCAGCTGTCAGTGATCCAATTTTTCATAGTCTCCAAGTACTCACGGAACAATGCACATGATGTTTTCCTTAAGTGCACATTCATTAAGACTCAACGCTGCCTGCCAGATCATCAATCTATACTCGGACGATGATTTCCCCTCGCAGTCCCGTTGAATGTCTCTGGAGGTTATCAGTGTCCTATACTTCTCGATTTCTCTGACTGAAGTTGCATAGGAATCAAGGCATTTGCCCAACTGATCTGAGGGACTCGCAGATGTGAGCGGGGTGACAGGCGGCGCATAGGTCCCTGAACGTTGGACCTCTTCACTCATCGTCTAGTCATGGCAAAATCGAGCAATCTTAGGTCTGGAAACTGTGGGAACCGTCTAAGAGCAGGAAAGTACAACAGCACTAAAACAAAGTAAGAATTAGAAGAAGAGACGTTGCTTACGCTGAGAGAAGCCATCAGTTGTTGATGACGAAAATCTGCTCCGAAGTGTTTTCGTCGTGCATAATGAATCACTAAGCCATTTGGAGCAATTTCAACATGATCGCATGAGACACAGACCATCCATAAGAAAAACATGGGTGCAATCTGGGAGAGGGGCACCTCGGTGTGGATCGACAGGAGCTTCTCGTTCTGCGGCTCTAGACTGTCTTACTCTGATAAGCTGAGACTGTAGAGCACAGCTAGCTTCCTTTATTCAAGCGACACCCGCCTGTCCAAACTAACCATCTGAAATCGACAATTGCATATTAAAAGATCTCTGAGACAAGTTGGTAATGAAGCAGAGGGTAGGGCCACGTCCAGGAGCAACCGAACGGTTGAGTCCTCGACTGGTGATACCCAAGTTGCACGCTGACTAGCATCGACCTCAACATCTGACGAGAGGAATCACAGATCCGTCTCAATTAATTCAGCGAGAAACGCTCACTTTTATGCTCGTATTCTCACGTGTAGGTCAAACAATAGGTGTCACTCAGAATATGTTGCCTGAGAAACCAATGGTCATCGCAAGCCTCGACAGTCGAATAAGCCAGTGAGCTGGGACCAGAATGCCTTGCCTGTCGCTTTCCTACCAGCATCCCTGCCACCGCGAAGGGTGAGTTGGATCACAAGGCTCCGTTGCCCTTTCACGGGTTTGCGGAGCGGATGTGAGAGGCTGTTGACCAAGGTTTACCAAGCATCTTCTTAAGAGCTCGCCAGCGCTTACATCTCCAGCCATTTCACGTGAAGCCATCAGAACGCTCGTGCTTACCTTAGCTAAAGTAGGGACCGCGTCCGGCCAGAGACCTCAAGTCGAGCGTGTGAACAGAATAACACGGAATTTTCAGGTATAGACAGCGCCGAAAACATTCATGTTCAGCTCGAGGCTCGACCCTTTTGAGAATCCAGCTCTTCAATACATTAGTGAATCGTTGTTGTCTCGTAAAATGTTTGGAGGAGCCAAGACTTGTACATTTCCGTGCCAAGATACACCACGTGACTGACTCCGTTACCGCAGACTAGCGCAAGCGCACGTTTCGAATTCACAAGCTCTACAAGACTACAACAACTCCTGCGGAACCTCAAACATCAGCCAACACAAAAAGCTCAGGACCAGAATGGCACAGCATAATCGAGCTGCGTACTCAAATCCATTAGTCCGACACTGGATTGGATGCGAGCGCAGGGGCCAGGACTAGAAGCAACTCCAAATTTTGCGGCATAATGATGAAGAGGCGTTGCAGTTGCATCGGCCAAGCAGAAGCTTGGTTGATGAACTGTTGGGCTTCTACGAATTGCCCTTTTCCTGTTGATTAAGGCTATGCAATTTCTAAATGTCTCATTCATTCTTCCCTCGGATTTCAATTATGGCATGAGTCTTCTGTGCGTCTTGATGTCTCACAGTGCGATTATTGGAGAACGACTACGCTCTTCGAAAGATGTCTAATTTGGCATTCCTCGAATCTCGTTTACTAATCACAAGCCTCACGATTCTCTACATAATCCTCCGTGCTACTGTAACTCTCGCTGAGATACCATGCTACTACCCCGACGGATTTACAATCGCACCTCTGCACATTCCATGCAATTCATCTGCAGTAGGTACCCCCAAAAGCGCTACCGCATGCTGTCGCGACCATCCCAACGCCTACTGCGTCTCGAATGGCTTATGCTACGACGAGGGAGTTCTCTCCCGAGGATCTTGTACGGACAAGACCTGGAAGTCGCCTAGCTGTGCTCAAGAATGTACTAGAGGTTGGTTCACCCTACCAATGCTTAAGTCCAGCGACTGACTATATTTAAGAGCGCCGGAATGTCTCCGTGGGCATCTTCAACTGCAAAGGACAAGGAACATACCAATGTGGCTGGGGTGACTGTTTAACCAACTTCACAGATCAAAATCCCTTCACCATCATCCTTCGCGACGATCAGAAATCTGCCTCTACATCCCTCCCTTCGAAAGGATCAAATACTTTGGCTGTGGGACTGGGCATTGGTCTGTCGCTGGGGATATGCTTGCTGGTATCGCTGTGGCTTCTATACCGTCAATATCGCCGATTGAAGATGGTGGAATTAGCGACCTGCCGCAAAAGCATTGAAAAACCTTCGGGTGATTGGCAGTGGCCGCATGGATCTTGGCCCCATCCGGTGCCCCAGGGAGACTCTCCGCCTCCTTCACAACCCGCGTACAATTCGCCAATTCGACAGGAGGCTCCACCTACAGCACTGGGCGCTAATCGGGGGCCACCACGTCCGCCCAAGATTCCGAATCAAAGAGGCCTGCAAGAGTTGAGAGACGAAACAGCTGAGTCGCATGAGTTGGATAGCTACAACTGCGGCTCGAATGGGACAAGGGAGTTTGTCTAAGAGGAGGGCCGAAAGCTGGAGTAGTACAATATTTGGGGTTCTGGGGTTCTAGTGAGGGCATTCGACTACACTCTTTAGTCACACGCCAAACCTGGAAGACATCGACTTGGGTCCTATGCGACCCGCGATTTAGTGGCCATCATCGAGGTAAAATATTCTCTTGGAGCGAAGCTGCCAGATCGTTGTCTGAAGGGACATGATACCTAGGGAAGATTGTGCTGGGAGGCCCGCTCAGAAAAGTCGCCGATCTTGTTGAACTATTGACTCTGAAGGATTGAAGCGATTACTTGGCGACTAGGACTATCTAAGCGGACGACTTGAGAACGTTGAAGGTCGGATATACTGCCTGGCAAGAGTGATTGGTTGATGGAGGGACCCTATTTTGTTTTGATTAATCGGAAGCAACTCGTCATGTTAGATGTTTGATCTGAGCATTCGTCGAAAGGCTACTCAGTAGTTACAAAATGACATTCCATATCCTGCCTCCTTGATTCCTGATCGATATCTTGATTCGCCACGGATGTCTCAGCAGTGGCGGCGCTGTGGCTGAGCTCGTCCACGTCAATTTTCTTGGCAGCCAAGTCCCCCACCCACGGCGTGTTAAAATACCTCCTTCCTCACCTCAACTCATCTTCGTATATTCACCTATATCCTCATCTCACAATCGACCATCACTACGATGGCCGACTTCATCCCTCCATCTGGGCCTCCACCGCCCAAGGTGCCCGAGGGTTGGAAAGCTCAATGGAACGATCAGTACAAGGAATGGTACGTTCAGCAGCCCTCAACTCACATCGCCCCCGTCCGTGTTCTTCAGCCCACATCTACTTCGAGTATCATCCAACCCCATCACCACACTGACACCTCAACCACAGGTTCTACGTAAACATCCACACCAAGCAATCCACCTGGGACCGCCCCAACTCCCCCGTCTACCCCACCGCCGCCGGCGCCCCGCCCGGCCCACCACCCTCCTACCCCGGCGCAGGCAACACCACCGCCGGCGGCAGCTCCACCTACCCCGCCGGCGCGGGTGCAAACACCTACCCGCCCGAAAAGGGTCTCGGCTCCAACAACCCCTACGGCGGCCCCCAAGGCGCCTCCTCGCACCAGGACCTCGACGAAGACGCCCGCTACGCCCAACAGCTCCAGGCGGAAGAAGACGCCCGCGCCCGCGCCGCGGGCCGTCCCACGAGCTCCGAGGCGTTGGACCGCGGCGAGAGCGACAGCTACTACCAAGGCGGGGCGCAGCAGGGCGGGGCGTACGGCCAAGGGCAAGGGCAGTCGCCGAGCTACGACGCGCAGCAACTGCCGCCGCGCGACGCGGGCAAAAAGGGCGGCCTTGGCGGCTTCCTGTCGAAGCTGGGCGGGAGGCACAACCAGCCTCAGCAGTCGCCGTACGGGCAGCAGGGGGGCTACGGTCAGCAGGCGTACGGTGGGCAGCAGCAGGGTTATGGGCAGCAGCAGCAGGGGTACGGCGGCCCTCAGTACGGAGGGTATCAGCAGCAGGGGTACGGAGGCGGATATGGAGGACCGCCTCAGGGCGGGTATGGTGGGTATCAGCAGCAGCAGCAGGCTCCGGCGAAGAGACATGGGCTTGGGGCCGGTGGGGGAGCGGCGTTGGGGTTGGGAGGAGGATTGCTGGGTGGGATGCTGCTTGGTGAAGCGATGGATGGGGGTGATGGAGGTGGTGATGGAGGTGGTGATGGGGGCGACGGGGGTGGGGGTGATGGAGGTGGAGGTGGAGGTGATGATGGTGGAGGAGGAGGGGGAGACTTCTAAGCTAGCAGAGTAGAAGAGACAGAGAGTGCGTACAAAGGCAGAACAGGGAGGGGGGAAATGATGCAGAGGAGAAGATGACAACTTTAGAATGCGCGATGGATGGTTTCTGGTACTTAGTTCATGATCGAGGATGCAAAAACCTAAAAAAGGCAAAGGCCCTTCTCTTATACCAACTCATCTCATACCTTGAGTCTTCAACCTTCTCTATGCATTGATGCCACGCTAAATCTTCTTCGAGACCAGCAGCTACTAATTTTCTGGAAATCTATCCAAACACTCCTGCGACAGATCTCAACGGGCAGCGCAGCAAGCTTGGTATATTGCAACCTGATCGAAACAATGCCCAGCTCTCGCCATCTGGCCGATCCGATCGGTGAACTTGTGCAACGCCTGGGCGAGAAGATCGGTCCAGCTCCAGAAGCACTCTACCCTCGCGATAATGGGCTTCGCGCTCATTGTTTACCGTCAAATGCTGTGTGCAGGCCTCTAACATACTATACACCGACCGATCCAACATCGATTGTGCTTCGATCGTGTATCGAGAGTGTGCAATAACTTCATGCTTGGCCGAAGATCCGCAGCGGCCTTGACGAAATCATGGTGATACGATTCGGTGTTAGGTAGAATCCGCTCGCATTCGCCTCAGTACTTGCATTACAGCACCCGAAGTCCATGCTTCTTTGAGACCCCTAAGAACGACGTCCTGCTCGCTTTCGGGTGCCATGCCTCCTGGAGCAGGGGGTCTCTTGTCGAGATTCGTTGGGAATGGGTATCCTTCGGTGATAGCTGCCACGAAGGCTTCGACTCCCTTGCTCAGCCCTTCCTTCTCGTACTTTCCCATCAGACTTTCCCAGCACCTTTCGACAAGGGCCAAGGTGTCGATGGCCTCCATCGGCTTCCCAAAAGCGCTACTGATCTGGAGAAGGTTCGCACTGCGCTCTAAATCCATGGTGACATTCTCGCCAGCGGCATGGAAAAGAGCAGGATTGAAGAAGATGCCATCGCCCTTCTCTAGAGGTAAGCTCACATAGTTCTCCAGAAAGTATTGGTTGAACTCCGGCAACCGAAATGCCATATACCCCTGTTCGAACAGTTGACTGAAGGGCAAAAGTCTTGTTGGGCCGCTATCGAGCGGCATGTCAGTGTGCGCCACAGCGCCTTGTAGCGTGAGAAGTTGACTCGCGACCTGCACAGCTCGCGGATACCTGGCAGCGGTCTCTGCAGTCTGAAACCCCAGGTGGTAGTCTCGATGACAGACTTGGGCTTTGCCGCCCGGTTTCACAACATTGACTTGGGCCGTGATTCTGTACGCCGGACCAAGCCACGCATCGCATGCGAGAGCGAGCCAAGGATTGGAGTAGTATTCCATGAAAGAAGCCGCGTCAGCGCAGCAATGCTTGCTGAAGGAGTTCCAGATTCTGTCATTATTGCCGGCAGCTGCGAAATGGTCTCCTCCCGACAATGATGATGACTTTTCTGAGGCGATGATTGAGCTGAAAACGCGATTGGATCGATCTAGGAGGGAGTCTGAGTACATGCCTTTGAGAAGGAAGACGCCTGGGCCCGAGAGGAGGATGTGGTACCATTCATCCTGTAGCGCGGATGCGATAGCAAGGGAATCAATGTGGCGGCCAGAGCTTTTGTATATGGGAATGTTGGAGCACACGGATTCGCAGAGAGGATAGATTTTGGGGTCCACCACCTGAGTACAATATTCCTTTAGTGCTGAAAGCGACGGCTTCTTTTCCAAAGCAAAGAGTCGGTGGGATAGGAGACGAGGTTCTGCGACGGGTCTGGCAGCAGCTTCTCCCATCTCTTGACCCTTTGGCTGGAATACTCGCATGCGTGGCTGCAGAAATGCCAAGTCTTTATGCTAGATCGTACTTTACTTGTTGTGCACAAAAGCCTAGCAATTGACTAGCGTAGATCATAGGGCTAGGGCTGCTCCCCTGCCACTGGTGCCACTAATAAAATATTCGCCAATACTACACCTCTACACCAAGTCTCAATTATAACTAACATGGCGGTAATGAGTCTTGAAAAGGCAATATGTGCCGCCATCACATTCCGCCTTCTTCTCAGGTGTGAATACAAAGACACTAAGGAAAACGGGGGTTCGAGTCAACTCCGCAATAAGAGTCGTAGAAAGAGCAGGAAACGAGGTTTCCAACGACGTGCTTGCCTTACTGGTGACTTCGATAGGAGTGGACAAGCTGTACGAATGAGTGATGGATCGAATGTGTCATGAAACGTGCGAGAAGCAATGCTCAAGGACCTCAAAAAGGCACCTCGCAACGGGAGAGTTGTTGATCAAGAAAATGTGGATATCTTTACGCGATCTAGACAGGAACGGCTTCCTCGCTCCCTTCTGAAATGAGTGCAGTATGACCATGCTTACAAGGATACCGATGGCAATTTTGTTAAGGAGATTGTACCAAAAGTATACCCAGATAAGCCTCGTCTTTATGCGGATCAAACGGAATGAGGTAAGTGATTGGCCTCTGGAGAGAATAAATGCAGGGGAAAGTTTGATTGCAGCGATGAGGGTACTCATCAGGTTGGTGGGCCTGAAAGACATAAGAAGAGGAAGGTTACGGTGCCCAAAGGAGTGCGGGTGGAATATCTTACCGACGCTGTGAACCTGTCAAGTTCGCTCTTATGCATTGGAACTGCCATTTTACGAAGCCGATTGTAGGACCTCAGAATCTGTGGGATAACCATGCAGCAGTCGAAATAGCAGCTGCTTTGGAACGATCGAATTGGGAGGACGAGCAGCTAGTAGCTGCAATCGAGGAACAATGATATCAGGTATAAACCCCTGGCACGGATGCATGGGCCAATATGGTTGTAAGTTTCCTCGCCCGATCTCTGTATTTGGCGGCAGGGAGACGGTGAGAAGCCAAGACATGTGGGCTTCTGGCATCAAGAACTGAGTAATATTCCTCTGACGTGCTCAAGCTGTCGGCGAGGACTGGTAAGATGAATGGAATTTCAAGCTCCGCCCATGACCACATCTACCGTTTTGTCCCTTCTGAGCCGCAAACGGTCCGCCGAGCTCGACAGAGCCCGTGATGAATCCAAGCGCGTATGGTAAGGAGTCTTTGTGGTTTATTGAAATAAAGTTCTGGACATGTCGGCGTTAAATTTGGCACGCGAGAATGTAGCTACAGCTTTGGGGAAGCAGGTGAGTATGCCGCGTGGCTCTTTTCGCCTTTCCCATGACAACCTTCGAGGCAGAATGATGTGCTGCTAAAGCTCTTTTCCCGGTTCAAACTTCCTGGGAATCACGAACTATGATTCAACTGCCTTGTTCATATAATGCAACACTGACTTTGAGCGAACAACAGTAGGTGGCGATGTGAATGGTCTTCTGGGTCGGTTCGAACGCGCCGCAGAATTTTATGGCTTGAATCTATCACGGGCAATATATCAGTGGCGCTATGCTTGGCTGTTAAGTCCGCAGTCGCCTATCTCCAATTGGAAGGGAAATTCCTCATCGCCAATGTGAACAATCACAATTGTCGAAATATCCCACCGAGTGCTTTTCGACCTACACTCTCCCAAGGGTCTCAACATCTGCATTCTTGTCATCTGTATCATTGTCAATTCCAGGCTTTATGCGCTCCCGTGCTGTTTGATGCATTAAGAGCAGCAGAAAGATGGGAAGACGGCGGCAAAGAAAGAGAACGAGTGGATGAGTGCTAGGTCGAAGCAGAGGAGTAGGCTGGGCTGACCGAAGAGGGACGATTAGATGAGGGAAATGCAAGAAGACCATGCTGAGATCGCACATGGAAAGTGTATCGCTCTTCAAGATTGAACAGAGAGCTTATGATAACAGTCGCATCCTTTCAACTCGCTACTAAAAAGCCGAATGCAATAACACAAGAGATGTGTCTACCACGGTTGAATCGAGGTTATTCTTACTCCTGGTCGATCGCAGCCATATCGTATATCCAACAGGGTCGGCAAGTATTCCCGTCTCGCGATGTCGGTGAAGTCGGAGAAGCTGCCCAATCGGCTCATCTTCTTCGAAAAGAACAAAGCTACAATGCAAGCTTCCACCACTTGAATTCAACACAAAACAGAGTTTCCTCCAAACCACCCCGAACCCAACGATCCCTTACTAGTGCGCGCATCGCTCCTCGGCTTATGACCTTTACCCGCAGTAGTCTTGAAGCTAGTCAACGACAACTCATCCATGAACTGCTTACTCAAGATGCATAGAAAGACTTCGAGAGGACGGTCTAGGATCGGGATGGTCGCCACAGCTGCAGGCCTCAGGGAATCATATCGTTAATCACCCCTTTGCATCATCTGTGCTGAAGGATTATAAATCTGGCCAAGATGGCGAATGGGAAGAGCGCATTGGATGTTTGCACGCCGTCACTCACACCAGTCACCAATGCCAAATTGGACAACGGAAAACGTGACAAGGGCAGCTTGAATGAGGGCGTTGAAAATGTTGAATACACGTTGAAACCTACGACTAGAGCATATGCTTCTACGGCAAGGTACATCCATACACACAGACATAGTTTCGAAGAAACATTTCTCTGTGTACTCATCGAAAGAGGTACCCCTGTGCTGAGTGATCATGAACAGGCTGAATCTGCAACATTATCTATGGAAGGACCAAACCGGCTATCTACTACACCCCAGCATACCCCTGTCGGGCATTGAGAATCTCAAAATTGCAGACGTGGGTACGGGCACGGGGTACGTACATCATCAGCTTTACCACTGTCATCAAAACAGAGGCCGTCACAGTAGTGATCGGAAACAAGCCAATTCCTTGCATTTCATACCTTTTTGGGCTTTCATGCATAGAAAAGAACAGGAAAACCTGTTCAAACGAACCCATCAGTCTAAATGAATTCCCATTCCCACAGAATCTGGCTCCTCGATCTCGCCCGCACTCTTCCTCCAACGGCGCAACTCGATGGCTTCGACATCGATATCTCGGACTGCCCGCCCGAGCAGTGGCTGCCGCGCAACGTCACGATGCGACATCTCGACGCTCTGGGCGAGATTCCCGAGCATCTAGCCGGGAAATACGATATCGTACAGCTGCGGCTGTTCCAAGTAGTCGTCAAGGACAATGATCCCGGGCCGCTGTTGCGGAACATGGTGAAGATGTTGAGTGGGTGCTTTACGTTCCCCCCCCCCTTTACGTACACATATCCGTTACCATTCCACATACACTCTATACCGTTTTCCCAATCAATCACACATAAGATACCATCCTCTCCCCCCCACATCGAGCATCTTCGGCCCCGCACACCACACCGTCTAACGCCATGCCCCCAACCCCACAGAACCGGGCGGCCACCTCCAATGGGGCGAATACGACATGACAACGCACACCACAATCAAAGCATCACCCTCCCTCAGCACCACCGCCCTCGACGCCATCCCAGCATTCGTGCAAGGCTTCAAGAAGAGAGACGGGCGCGTCGGAGTGCAAAAGTACGTTCCCCTTATTCTATCCAACCCCCTTCACCACCGCCTCCCCAACCGCAAACCCTCCCCAACCGCAAACCCCCCCCCACTAACGTCCCACCAAAACCCCCACAGCTGGATCCCCCACCTCCCCCACACCTTCCGCACGCACTCCCTCACCCACACAACCAGCACGCGCCACGCGACCGCCCCGCCCTACCTCCCCTCCCAACTCGACGTCTACCTCCTCACGTACGAAGAGCTGGCGGCCAAGACCTTCGACCCGATGCCCGGCGGGCACGGCGACAGGCTCCGGGAGCTGGTCGCCGCGGCGGGGGAGGAGGGCCGGAGGGGCGTCGGGTGGGGGATGGATCGGTTGGTGGTTGTGGGGCGGAAGGCGGGAGGGGGTGGGGAGGATGGAGGGGGGAGTTTGGTGGGGGAGGGGGGGAGGGATGGGGAGACGGTGGTGGGGGGTGGGTGGTGGAATGGGGGGAAGGGGAAGAGGGGGGGTCGGAGGGAGAGTTTGATGAGGATGTGGAAGCGGATGAGTTCGTCGTAGGGTCGATGGATTGGATGGGATGTATCTTTGGGATAGATTTCTCGGGTGCGTCGTTAGCCGTAGGTTACCTGAAAGGATCTAGAAAAATGTTGCCGGATTGATTATTATTGGCATGTTTGTCCAAGGTACCTTCAGGTACCCAGGCATCATCGAGGACGTGAGGGTGCAGCGGACGGGGACGATAGTTCGTGAGGTCTTGTATCAAGTATGTAAAGCATCTTAGCAGGCTTGGTGGTGCGATCATGGGTTTTGGTATCTCGGTGTTGTCAAAGCCTGCTGTTTTTGCCATTCTCGTCTAGAACCCGAAGGTGACCAGTAATAGCAACCCCCAGCTTCTCGGCCTCAAACCAAGTATTTGAAGACCAGTCGGCCATATCCATGCCAGCCAATGAACGGTCAAGAGCTCATATATCATGATCCGACAACACCAACTACGCCAAAATTGTCAACCCTCGCCTGAGTCTCAATCACCCACTATGTGGACCATTTTAACTCCCGTCCACACTTCTCAGAGATTCTTGCCTTGATCGTCTCCTTGTGCTGTTCAGCCATGTCCAGGAACTTCTCAATCTCCTCTCTGTCGGTCTTCTCGCAGAGACTCAAGATCTTTCCCGGATTCAATTCTCTCAAGGTGCTGGAAGGTGACTTCTTCCTCCTTGCTCCTTCATCCACCGAATCGTCAAAACCTTGCTCCCATCTAAACAAGCGTACCTCCATTCCAATTGCAAGAATGACGTATGGGTCGTCAGCGCCTATCACCTCACCCTCTGGATAGTTGTCGTGTTTAATTTTGCCGTCGTCGGTATGGTCTAGATTTTCGCTAGCCTCGCGGATGATGTCATCCCAAAGATCGTCCCAATACTTGCTCGTTCTCTTCACACGTAGGTAGAGGTAGTGAAATTTCATTGCTTCTTGACTGAAGCTTTCTTGTGTGCCAAAGTAGCACAAGGTGTTTGGGGGAAGGGTCCAGGCTGGCTCCTCAGTCTTTCGTACGAAATGCTTTAGGGCCCGTGTGGCATCTTTCCAGAACTGTCCGAGTCTGTTGCAGAGAAGTCAGCATTATCTAGAAAAGCTTGAGGACCAATTTGGACAGTCGCTGGGAGTGGAGCTCTTGCATGAACAAAATGATATAGATTTTCAGGCGACAAGATGAACTCCACTCACGTTGACGTCTCGCTTTCAGTGTCAATTTCGTATGCATCAATGACGCTTCCCCATGGGGTGCCCTCAGAGCCATACGACGAAGATTCCTCAACGTGACGCCTGCAGTGTTTTGTCAGCTCAGTCCACCGTTTGTAACATGTGCTCCTGTCAGACTCTCGAGACGATATGTTGGGAATTTATATGAAATGACGTCCAGTCACGAACAAGGACCAACCGCGAGCAAGATGGAGGAATGTATGTTTTGATCAACTCACCATGCTGCACGTCTCTTGCGCTTGCGGGCTTTGCCGGCCCTAGGTGTTGAGACACGCAACCCTCGAAATCGAACACTTTCATTGGCGACATACGTCTTTCTATTCCATTCATATCCCGCAACAACGAGACATTCTAGCCCATCACCAAGGCCACCGCCTGAGTGAAGCCAAACTTCCATCTGCCGGTCCGAGAATACCTCCACTGCGAGGAAGTCAGGAGAAGGCTGAGGGTCCTGTGTACCCTTATCCTCACCCTTCGGGATCAAAAGAGCTGGATCGTTAGGCAAAGGCTCGAGAAATACTATGTTCTCCATGACTAGGGGTCTTTGTTGACAAATACGTCGAAACCTCCTAGAAACTTTCAGGCACGAATTGTAAGTTCTAATATCCGACACATTGCGCAACACCATCTCACAGATCTCTTCTGGTAGTCGTGCTTCGTTCGCTTGGGTTAGTCGCAGAGTCTCAAGGGTTGTAGCTTCGAAGAATTGGATCAAAGCCACGAAGGAATTCTTTATCAAAGCCTTCGTCACTGGAGCCTTTTGGATTAGCTCCACCTCGTATTCGCTCCCTTCGTCGCTCCCTCCGTCGCTCGTTCTCGCATCTTCTTCGTTCGTTTCAGTTTCCTCAGACTCTTTCACCGTATCTTTATCCTCTCCTTTCGCTTCTACGTAAACATCTTTCGTTCCCTCCTCGATTTTCCCTTCATGACCATGCTCCTCGCTTTTCACGTCTTCGTTACTGTCTTCAACACATTTGCTCTTACCATCCTGCTGGCCTACATGTTGCCTGACTCGCTCAACATCCGTTGTGTCGAAATCTTCGTCGATCTTTTTGATATTCTTGGTAAATCTTGCATCATAGAATGCGTCAAGCGCTTGATCGCCATATCTCGCCCGAGAGTCTTTGGAAAGGTTAGTGTTAATAGATACCAGGGGCATGAGTTCCGTATGATCAACGCTCCCATCTGGCCTTGACTTGATCAGAACCAGATGCTCAATTGATATGAGGACTGCATTGAAGGATTTTTGGGTACAGTTGGCACGTCCATACTCTATAGCATTGGCGATGGCCTTTTCAAAAACGCCAGGGTAGTCCAGCTGCGGTGTTAGACAGATCAAGGCTCCCTCGAACCAGTACTTGGTTTCCTCTGGGGCGGAGCCCTCCGGTAAGCCATCCATGTGATACCCGACCCCTAACGAAGATGCCAACTCTGGATCGCCCTCAGACTCGTTGTCTGTTACCATTCCGAGGTACAAACCCTCGCCATACGGCTTTTGGGCGTGGCGTTGAGCCACTAGAGCAAGATTTTCGCCACCAGCAGCAAGGCAGAGGATAAAAAACGCAAGCTCACGGAACGGCAAATCTTGGGCTTGCCAGCCAAGTAAAGTGACACAAAGATCTCGTTGCTGTGATTGTTGGAAGAAGTCGAACAACATCCACCGAAGTCGAGGTCCGGTGAGGCAGGAGCGCGGGATGTGATCAAGGCTCTTGGGTCTGACTAGTCTCGTCTGCAACGTCTCATATTCTGTGGAGACTGTAAAGCTTGGCGGGTCTAACGACAAAGTAGCGATTGAATCTGCAGGAAGAAGTTGTGGTAGCAAAAATCGATTGCCCTCGGTGTCAAGAAAGAGCGCCTTAATCCACTCATCATTTCGGGGGATATGTTTCAGGCGGAAGTGGGCACCGCTATCAACAGAGAAGACTTCTCGGTCGAGGTCGATGGTGTAGGTCCATTCGATGTAGCCGTCACCGAACCCCGATGCATAAAAGGGTGGGGCATCTTGCGGTAACCTGTCATCAAATGCAGCGTGGAAGATAGGCCTGTAAGGTTCATTTTCGTGGAGCTGGTGCATATCCTCAGGCTGGATGATCAAGAGTTTCTGTAGTAGCGAGTCCCATTTGGCGAAGAAGTCGCGCTGAGACTGGAGCCACTTCTGATACTCTTCAGGATCCACTGGGACACCATTCACCAGTGACTTTCCAAGACCATCAGGATAGCTGTCATAATTATTGTAGAAGATCCAGAAACGACCTTTGAATTTGATGATTCTGTATCCGCGAGTGCCCATGGTTACGTCGAATGCAGTGGAGAGTTTCGAATGCTGACGAACTGCTGTGATGAAGGAAGGATTGTATCCGTAGTGTCTCGCTGCGAATTTTGCCGTGGGGGCTGTTGCCTAAGGTTAATGGTCAACGTAGGTGCCAGAAGGGTAGAATGTAGGCTGTGAAGTCTAGGTGTCAAGCTGGATTGATGCCTACTTGAGACTAGTGGCACTGTGCTGAAAATCCCACTCTAACTTGACAGGGAATCCTTCTATGCATGCAAACAGGCATGCTATGGAAGTGCTTGGTCTCTCAACAATGCAGGCGAACTTTGTTATCGCGACGACCATGAGAGACAATGTGATGCTGCTCAGAGTGTTTGCAGATTCTGCAAGCTGGCTAGAATGACAAATGTGCTACTTCCGTAGTAAGCAGAACCTGCTAACCCGAAGGGGCTTAGCGAGCTTAGCACTTGGAGGGACTGAGGCAACAGCGCAAAGGCGAACACAGAAGTGATTGTGTAATCAAATTGAACCAATCACACTCCCACAGTAGGTTTAGCGCAGTAACGCGCACGGCACGCCAAGCAAAACAACCGTGTGGCACTAGAGGCCGCGCAGTGACATTCGAGGTGCCAGAATATTAGGGCATTCGATCATAGGCTTTTTCCTGCTCTTTACGATAAATTTCCAACGATGATTCGTTTCATCTAGAGCTCCGCCTCCCCGTCTACGATCAAGACTCTTCTTCGCACAATCCTACATGGCTCGTACAATCTAAGCAGCAAACGCATAACTTCCAAGCACGGCATACACATCCCAGGGACAAGTTCCGCCATTCTGTCCCAAAATCTGTGCGACGACGCTCGCGTTCCGAATGCCCATCTCGTCGGACATGAACCGCAGTTGCTGGATGATCCATGCCTTGATTTGGGTTGTGGAGCTAGCATGTAATCCAGCGACGTAGAGTGGGAAGAGCAGAGTGTAGCATCGTAATCTCTGGGTCGTGGAGTAGGTCTTGCTCCTCGGTGTGGGGCTTTCGTGCTCTGTGAATTGAGGCGCAGTGGCACAGATATCTTTCGCTATGCCGTTGATGTAGCCAGTCGCGATGGCTGAGTTGCGGGGAGAAGAGCCGTTGTTAAAAGGCCCTGTGTCTGGGGAGACGCGGTGTGTGCGTATTATGTCATTCAATAGGATCCTCATGACCCGGAGAACGTTCCACCCCTGAGTAACGAGATGATCTGGATACGTATCGTAACGTTTCTCGAACACTCGTTCCGATATTTCTTCTAGATATGTCGTATTGTAAAGCCATGTTGAAGCCATATGCTTTCCAAGCGACACAAATTCGTGGTCAAGCTCGGTCGCGCGAGCGATGATCTCGAAGCTGAGAAGGCACCCATCTTGAATGGCCCCTTTTAGATTAGCATATTTGACCACCAGGCCGGAGAGCCGCCATTTCGGATCATCCTTATTTAAGAAGGGCTCAAGATCAGAGCGAAGTCTGATCAACGCAGGCGGCACTGGAGAATTTGCCGAGACGCAGCTGATGAGAAGATTGGTGCTCAGGCGTGCTGACAGCCGGTGACCCGTATAGTCTTGGAGCAGCGGGCTCTCACGCATCTCGACCAGGGCAAGAGCACCGTTGATATGACTCATCCAGGAACCGATCGATCGAGGATTGTTGTTCGTGATTTTTTCAAAAAGGTCGAGGAGGAGCACTGCTGAGAGTGTTGAGTCACTCGTCGCCGACTCAGGGCTACGGAGTGCTTTGTTTAGCAGCGGCAGAGCAGATAGGTACTTTTCTCGAGAAATATGCGAAGCCTGTTCGCAATCGAATTGGAAAGAGAAGAACGCTAAGCTGACGGCATCAACACTCGCAATCAGGGGTCTGTCCGATGGAGAATGTTCGTAGAGAGGTTCTAGGACATCATAGGTTTTTGAGAAGCCGGATACATAATGAAAAAAGAATGCGTTCCTCGCCCTATCTTGAATAGTGGTAGCCAAAGTGCGCGGGACGGGTTTTGAACTACAGCTCAACGCTTTCTGCCTGGTCGCCTGGGTTTCGTCGCGGACTCTCAGCTGCTCGGTATCACGATAGCCGGAGCAAATATGGGTCGCTCTGATGCATTGACCACAGGAGTCTCTTTGGAGATCACACTGATGTCTCGTCAGTGAGAAAAGAGACTTGGTCAGGCATTTGGGAGCTTACACGGAGCTTCCTCTTTCTACACCGCAGGCAAGCTTTGGAGGGTTTGCCACGGTACACCATGATTTCGCTCACTCACACCGCTACAACAGGTACCATAAGGAGCAAGACTCCCAGACCCGGATGTCAAGACGGGAAAGGCTGCTTTGACCTGCTATGCCGCCGAGATTCAAGAGCCTGCGCATGGAGGCTGCCCCACACAGCGCGGACTTAAGGTAGTCGGCGATAGAATCTGACTATGCCCGAAAGCGTAGGTGTTCCGTTATTATCATGTGACTCCACTCTAAAGCCGACCGAGAGCCACAAGAATCGTGTATAAGAGATGAGTCTCTCCCAAACATTTCGCTCATCCAATTTACTCAAACACAAGGAAACCTATCCAAGAAATGCCTTTCCAATACAAACACGTCCTCATGGTCGGTGCTACATCTGGCATCGGTGCCGCAATGGCCGACCGTCTTGTCCAGGAAGGCTCTAAAGTCATCGCGGTGGGCCGCAGACAAGACAGGCTCGATGACTTCGTCCACAGACATGGCAAAGACAAGGCCAGTGCCGCAAAGTTTGACATTACCGATCGGCAGAACATGGACGCGTTCGTGAGAGAGTTGGTTCCCCCCCCTCCCTCGCTTGTCCTCTAGGCTACTATGACACCAATGTTCTTACAGCCATCTACAATAGCATCACACACACCTACCCCGAGCTGGACTGCGTCTTCCTGAACGCCGGAGTCCAAAGCCAGGTCAACCTCGCACAGCCAGCGAAAGTTGACTTGTCCGCTTTCCACTCCGAGATCACCACCAACTTCTCCTGCTTCGTGGATCTGACGGTGAAGTTTCTGCCCTTCCTCATGAGCAAGGACACCGAGACGAGCTTGATATAGTACCTTTCGCTCCACCCCACCAAACCCAAACTGGTCTACTGACAAGCCCAGCACGAGTTCCAACCTCGCCATCGTCCCCGCAGCTCCCCTTCCCGCCTACTGTGCCTCCAAGGCTGCCTTGAACTCATTCATCTACTGTCTCCGCGAGCAGCTCCGTGACTCATCTGTCAAGGTCATTGAACTATTGCCTCCTCCTGTACAAAGTATGTCCACGTTCGTCCGGAGGCCAAGTACTTGCGATAGGGCTGACGTCCACAAGCGGAATTGCACGACTACATGGGCCATGAAAGCGGACGACAGCTCGGTATGCCAGTGCGCGCATACGTAGATGAAACGTACCAAGGTCTCGACTCCGGAAGTGACCAAGTCGTCGTTGGATCTATCGGTCCGGCAGACACTTTCAACGAGATCATCGACAAGAGGAGGGACGCTTTTCAGAATTTGGCAAAGATGATGAGGGGTAGACACTAAAGTCGCAAGTGTTGTGGTGGAGGAGAGAACGAGCTTCTATTTCGCTTCCAAGTTCAAAGTGGGTTCGAATTAGCCACAGCGTCCATCACTTTGTTTTCTGCTGGCCTTGTTCATCTGTTCAGAATAGAGTGGTAACCCCTTGCCAAAAGAGCTCTGAGAATCGTGCCATAACTACATCTTGTCTTTTGAAGCTTTACCTTTCGTGAAAGAGACGTGCATTCTATCAAGTAGAGAAATTTCATGAGTCAAATCATCGAACATACCTGTGGTGCTTACGATATTGTAGCAAAATGCACGAACTCTCAATAGGAGACAGTTTCAGATCCGGAACCGCGCCAGCATGGGAACCGTGGCCTTCGGACTGTCATCGATCTGGCATCAAGCTTGGCCTAGATCTGTCATGGATGCGGCAAGGGTCTGATGCTACACTTGCACGATCCTTTTAGTACCTCTTCTCACCATTGAGTAGCGCAATTTTTCCTTTCATTAGGCAAATATGCTCTTCAGAAAGAAACAGGCCTAGATGTTCCAATAGCAAGCCGCGGATTCTGTAGCAGTATGAAATAGTATACAAGTAGGTGGTCACATATACACGAGCGAGAAATATTTCCCCAAAACAACCCGAAAACAAACCGTGTTCCTCGTAATCACGCCTTTACCTATTCAACATCATGAGACGACCATCAAACATACTCGCGCCTACGATCGATGATTCCTTCGCCTATCGGAAGACTTCTCGGTGACTGCTCTCTTCTCCTCATGCTTCCTACACGAATCCACTCGTCAGCAATCATACCCGAAACTCGCCCCTTCCCCTCCCCCTTCTCGCCAAGCCGTCTTCCCTTCCCATTCATTCATTCATCCATCCCCTCCTCCCTCCACCCACAACAAAGAATCAAAAACTCACTTATCATACCCCCTCTCCAACGCATTCCCCGCCAAGCCACCAAGCACCAACCCCGCAATCGTCGCCCCGATACTGCCCTTCCCGTTCCTCTGCGCCGCCTCCTGCGCGATGACGGCCCCCGCCACCGCGCCGATCATGCCCGCGCCGACCCCCCGGTCCGACGTCGAGAAATGCTCCTTGGCCTTGTCGAGCCGGTTCGACGACGACGACGACGGATCCTTGTGGGCGGCGCCCTTCTTCGCGGAGCGGTGGGCCGGGCGCTCGTCTTCGGACGAGGAGCCCGAGCTGCTGCTCGAGGCGTAGCGGGGGGCTTTGCGGTGGTCGCGCCGGGTCCGGGGTTCGAGGTCGTAGCGTCTGCCGTTGCTCATGTCCGGCGATGGCGCGTAGTTGTTGTTGTTATTGCTGTTGTTGTTGTTGGCGGGGGTGTAGTCGGGCTCGTATCTTCCGCCAGAGTTACCTGCTGGGTTATAGCCGTTGGGCTGCCCTTGGCCATAGTAGGGGTTCGACATGCGAATGGCACTGTACAAATGGGATATGCTGTATAGTATAGCCTTGCCGTGCTTGTTGTTATAGAAGTCCTAATGGTGGCGTCGCAATCGTATGGGAAAGTAGGGGCTGTAGTTCGAGTAGGTCAGTATAGATTACACGCAGAAGGTTATGTTCACCAAGCTTGAGAGAAGAAAGATGTATATTACTCAGTTCAATGCTACTCAGAAGGCCTTCGAACTGCGTGAGATAAAGAAGGCAAACCTGTTTCGGCGAGGGCGGCATGACAAATTGACTAGCAGACCGAACCCGGGCTGTGCAAAAAAAATAATTTGATTGGCTGCCGACATGATGTAATCATTTTTAGGGCTGACGGAACATGGAGGTCCCTTTCTACGCCGCACCTTCCGTTCCCTTTGTGCAGATGATAAAACATGACACACCAGAATGACATTCGAAATCTCCAGTGAAATGTGAAATGTATACAATGAGCATTGACTGACCGCAGAGCAGTCACGTATACCGGCCTACAGAGTAGCCGGGTACACTGAGGATGCTTTGTACCAGCAGCTAGAACCTCACCGGCTAGCCCGAGATGATCGCGAGGCTATGCAAACGCCCAGTCAGGGTGAGAAGAGGCTACAGTAAGCCTTGACACAGTTTGATTTCAGAGATGCTGTGGCCCTCAATATGATACTGTTTGCAGTGTTTGACGAGAGTTTGGTACCAGTCTTGGTACCAGTGCGCCCTCGAGAGCGAAAGCGAGGTTTGGCAAGAATGTCTTGTCTTGGGGCGGCCAGGTACGGCTGCATAGCAAGTGGTCTACTTCCTTACTGACTGCCACGATGCTAAGAATTTCTGATGACACTACTGACCTTCAGGGTTGCCTCGCCAAGCTTGGTGACGCTTGACTCGCCATCGGTAGCGTAAGAGACCTTGATGACAAAGCCGTCCATTCTTTGATCACTCGGTGTGCAAGGAGTACCAACTTCATCTTACTTCTGAAGGTGTCTACATCCACGTTGGTGCGCATCAACAAGTGGGGCCGTAGGTGGCGCCATGCTGTCGGCGCCGAATGTCATTAGCTTCCAGCTTCTCGTAGGGCGCATGTCTGCGCTTGCGTGGCGCTACAAGTACTCATCTTCTACGCAAGCAGTGACAAAGGAATCGCTCGAGGAAGAGTTTGTCTCTGGTAGAAAAGAAGCTCATGGGTTAGTACAGCCACCTTACTTGATTTTGCTCGACTGATTTGCAGTTTTACTCTGGCCACTTTGGCCAAGAAAACGTGGCTGGGTGGTTGAGTGGGCGGAAGACACGTACGAGCCTACCTGCTCCTTGGCGCCACTGTTGATCACCCATAAAACCTGACGGTCAAGTGGCATACTATGCTCGACCATTCTAACCTAATAGCAGGCTGCTGCCGGTTTATTGCTGTTGCGAACGCTTGCTGCTGGAAGGGTAGATCACACTCCGAAGGCTCCAGAGCTTAGACTCACCACGATCCAAATCAGTCCGTATCATGGCTTTGCGAAGTAATTGTCGTCGGTTGTAGATGCAGAACGCTCGAGATGCAGGCGGTGGCTCGGAACACTGCTTTGTGGACCGCCGCTCTAGCGCTAGTACGAATTAGGTTATCAATAACGACTGGGGTCAGATTTCCTCAACAAAGCCTTCCAAGTAAGTCGGAAGCCTGCCACTGTCGCCGATGCACATACAAGTGGGCTTCTTGTTCTATATTTGCTCTTGTTACCTTCTGTTTCTATTCGTCAAAAGTACTTGCTGATCACAACCTTTTGTTGCCTTTGGGGTTTAATCTCGTCAACTGATGAGTACTTTGTCTAAGTAGACAACGAGGCAATCTTAATTTTCATTTTGGTGCTCTGTAGTATTCTCAGTCCATGTATAAGCTTTATTTCTCTTGTAGTTTCGCGCAGGGCTCACACCCAAGAAATTGGTGACGTTCTGTGATACATTCACTTCGTGCCAAGTTCTGGATAGATGTGCCATTGTTTCAGTATCTTCCACTTCTACACTTTCATTTCGCGCCAGGATGCGCACTTCTTCAGGTATCACCTTTGTTTTGGCAGCATGTTGGCTCTTCGTAGTTGCAGTCGTCTCTGGCGGCACGATCGCGACGAGTACTAAAGAAGTCACAGTTGAGGCAGGTGACACCTTCTGGATCATTGCCAGTAGATATGGGACGACTCCCGCCGCCATCGAAGCTGCTAACCCAGGGGTGAACCCAAGCGATCTGCAAATAGGCCAAGTCATTAACGTTCCTAACCAAGCGGCTGTTCCTCAAGGCCTTGATACATCCAACACAACCACCCAAAGTTCTCTCATTGCCCTAGGCCTTGGGGCAGTTTCCTCATCATCCGGCGGCCAGGCCAGCGGTCCTTTGCTTACCTCTGGGCCTGCTAATACGATGTCAGATCCCGATGCACAGCCGGAATCTACGACATCCACAAACCTGGCAGCTTCAGTGTCAGACCCAGAACCGTCGAAATCTGTACGAAATACAGCTTCGACCACTTTGACATCAGCATCAGGTCATATGAGTTCAGAGGACTCTGGAGCAGCAGCTGCGGCTTCAGCCTCGGTCACCCAGGGGCCGTCGGCTTTTGACACTGGCTCATTGGGCCTAGCATCTAGCCTCATTCCTTCTCATCCCGCAATCCCGTCTACTCAACAGCCCACTATACTGTTCACTCCTATTATGCTGTCTTCTTCCGTTGCCTCTCCTTCTGCTCCAGGCTCTTCTAACGAATCCTTAACTACGGCTCTCGGTGTTGCAGAATCGCCATCCTCGCAGAACATCCCTGAGTCTGCGCCAGCTGCGGGGTCAGCACCTCAAAGTCTGGCATCAAATGGGATACCAGAAATTGGTGGGATCTCGATAGCAAATGGGACACCGGTCTCCAATACTAACACCTTGCAAGCTTCGGCAACCCAGGTGCCATCATCAAATTACTATCCAGCATCTGATGGGACTTCGATATCCAGCGGAGCACTTACTTCAAGTACTGGTTCTTTGAAAGCTACGGCTTTAGCATCCCAAGTACAGTCTTCAAATGGAATCCCCTCCTCCAATGAGAACTCCTCAAATAAGACCCCATCCTCAAACAAATCCCCATCATCAGATGGGAACTCGGCATCCAACGGAGCACCGGCTTCAGACGCCGTCCCTTTGCAACCTTCCGCTTTAGCATCCCAGGTACAGTCTTCACATGAGACCCCCTCACCAAATGAGATATCGGTATCCAATGGAACACCGACGTCAAATTTGAACTCCTTGCAAGCCTCAGCTTCAGTATCTCAAGCACCATCATCTAATGAGGCCCTCCCATCAAACGAGACCCCTTCCTCGGATGAGACCCCATCACCGAGTGGGACATCATCTCCAAACGGTTCGTTAGTATCGAACAAGGCACCGGCATCGAGTAATGCAGAAGCTTCAAGTGGGTCAAACCCATCAAACAGTCCACCAACGTCGAATGGCGTAATACAGTCAAGTAACGCAGAAGCGTCAAATGCGGTGCCAGCATCAACGGAGACACCAGCATCAAACGGCGCACTACAGTCAGGTAACGCAGAAGTGTCAAGTGTAGTACCAGCATCAAATAAGGCTCCATCATCAAACAACCCACCAACGTCAAACGGGGCACTAGCATCAAATAATGCAAAAGGGACGCCAACATCAAATGGAACACCGGCATCAACGGAGATACCGTTATCAAGTGGAACGCCAGATTCGAGTGGGTCTTCATTTTCCAGCGAGAACCCTGTCCCGAGTCAAACACAGGCATCAAGTGAGACGTCAATGTCGAGTGAAGATTCTACGACAAGTGAGACCCCACTTTCTGACAGTATTGCTGCCCAAGAGACTTCTCCGTCAACGACGTCAGCGGAATCCAGCTCTTCAATTGGCAGCAGCTCTTCTATGCCCACTTCGGCATCGCTGTTGGATAGCTCAGTGCTCAGCAGTCTATCTTCCGTCACCTCTTCCCTGACATCTGAGACGTCGTCAAACTCTGGATCAATATCATCGTCATCAGATTCATCAATCTCTGGGACGTCAAGCTCTGGATCAACATCGTCGATGTTAGCTTCGTCGATGTTAGCTTCGTCAACTTCTGCATCTTCCCAAATGGCGTCGACACATGTGTCCCAAGAGCCCACCACATCATCGCGGATAGTATCTAAATCTGGCAACACATCTCCAGGGCTCACGTCTTCCGTTTCACCAACTCAGCAAACAGCGCCTTCGACAACCCTTTCCAGTGCCAGTCCGACATCATCTCACGACCTAGCATATCTAGGATTTCTTGGGGCTCCACTCGCGGCTGGAATTCCTTATGCTGTCAAAAAAGTGATCGATAATTGGAAAACTCCGAAATTCAATCTCCCAAAAATCAGACTTCCGAGTGTTAAGATTCCAAATTTCAAGCTTCCAAGTTTCAAGACTACTCCAGGAGAGGACGGGCCGAGAAGATTTAAGCCTTCAGATATCAAAACCCCACACAGGGTGGACCCTACGGATGAGAACCCTTCAGAAGACAAACCCCCGGGGCAGTCTCCGGATGAATCCCCAGGAGAGACTCCAGAGGACAAGGTTCCGGATGCCAAGACCCCAGAAGATCCTCCACGACCTCCCTCACCCATGGATGGTAAGCCTTTCACTGATGACGGACCCCCATCCCCCATGGAGAAAGATCCGCCCGCAAGGTTTCCTCGCCCTAAACAACCACCTAAAGGTCTGAGGCCCTTGAATGAGATTAGCGGAGGTAAAGCTCAGTTTGAGCAGGGAATGGAAGACCCCAATTTCTTCAAACCAGATCCCACAGACGCAGAGCCGGGAACCACGGGAGGAGATGCAGAATCAGCGGGAAAGAATGGGGACTCAGCGGGAGAAGATGCAGATACAACCGGAGAAGATGGGGACTCAGCGGGAGAAGATGCGGATACAACTGGAGAAGATGCAGGTACGACAGGAAAAGATGCAGAGACTCCCAAACAACCACCTCAAGCCCCTAAAGGTCTGAGGCCCTTGAATGAGATTAGCGGAGGTAAAGCTCATTTTGAACAGGGGATGGAAGACCCCAATTTCTTCAAACCAGACCCTGCCGACGTTAAGCCAGGAATAACAGGAGGAGATGCAGAATCAACAGGAGAGAATGGGGAACCAGCAGGAGATGCAGCAACAGCAGGAGAAGATGCGGGAACAACTGGAAAGGATGCAGAGGCAGCAGGAGAAGCTGCTGAGACAATTGGTGAACTTGGTCTGGATGCTGCCGGAGGACGAGCAGCTCTGGGGAAAGACGCCGGTAAAGCTTTTGCCCAGGTCGCCAAAAAGCCTATCAAACAAGGAGTGACGGACGCAAGTGGTGCTCTTACAGGTGCAGCCAAGAATGTCGCGTCGAGCGTTGCAAGTAAAGTTGGAAGCACACTCAAGAAGCTATTTGGGCATCCAGGTGGAGGCGGTTCAGATGCAGGATCGTGTCATTCAAGATCCTTGAATAAGAGAGGGTGCAGTAACAGCGATGGGAACAGCAACAACAAGGGTACCAGTAACAGCAATAACAATGTCAACGGAGCAGCTGCAGCCGGTGCTGGTGTCGGTGCAGCAGTAGGCGCTGCCGCTAATGCTGCTGCCAATGCTGCCTCTGGAGCCGAGCCCGAATCAACAGCGGAGTCCATGACTGCGACGTCCAGCCTCGAGGAACCTCAAACACCCCCTGTGACGAGCTCTCAAAGCCCTACCAATACTCTTCCAACTACTTCTAGGATTTCTTCTACAACATCCAATGACTTCATTTCCTCCACAAGTTCTACTACAGCCACATCAACGAAAGAAAGCTCCATCGCTTCATCTGAAACAACTGAAGCTACGGCATCCTCAAAAGCTTCTATTACAGCGACATCGACGAAAGAAAGTTCGGCCACTTCATCTGGAACAACATCTGAAATTACAACATCCGTAAAAATCGCTACCTCTGTAGCGATGACATCGAAGAAAGAAAGTTCCAGTGGCATCAATTTCTTCACATCAACGTTCAAAAATACGGCCTCCTCAGATCCCGTAACCTCTGTGACAGCAGAATCTAGGCTTTCCATCTCTATGAGTTCGACTATAGACCCCATAACATCAGAGATGTCCTCTACAGCAAAAGCTACCATGTCGACAGCATCGACCACCTCCATCGCAACGACACCTAAGATCTCACCGACAACGATTCAAGCTTTGACCTCCCCAACATCCATCGCCTCCACATTAATAACTTCATCTAGACATGCAACCTCCACAATAACGACATCTAAAATCTCTACTACAGCAAGCTCAGGAGCTACGACGTCATTATCTTCTATAACAAGTTTAAAAGCTACGATTTCCTCAACATCGGGAATATCCACATCTTCTATGATGATTTCTGAAGCCACGACCTTCTCGCCATCAAACACATTTATATCCTCAATCATAAGTTCTAAATCTACGAGTCTCTCATCATCAAACAGCCTCTTTGCCTCAACAAGTCCCAAAGCTACAACATCCACATTTTCAAGTCCTACAACGTCTACACCCTCAACAACAACATCTGAACCTCCACCTTCTACAACGTCCATACCATCCCCTTCACAAACGATGACAACCTTGAAGACCGTAATCTCAAGTACTACTACATCTGCGAAACCTTTTTCAACGCCGCCACCACCACCCACGACAACTTCATCCCCACCACCACCACCCAAGACAACTTCAACCCCGCCACCACCACCCACGACAACTTCAACCCCACCACCACCATCCAAGACAACTTCAACCCCACCACCACCACCGAAAACAACTTCATCCCCGTCACCACCGCCAACAACAACTTCATCCCCGCCACCACCCCCGAAAACATCTTCAACCCCGCCACCACCCCCGAAAACATCTTCATCCCCGCCACCACCCCCGAAAACATCTTCAACCCCGCCACCACCCCCGAAAACATCTTCAACCCCACCACCACCACCGAAAACATCTTCAACCCCACCACCACCACCGAAAACAACTTCATCCCCGCCACCACCGCCAACAACAACTTCAACCCCACCACCACCACCGAAAACAACTTCACCGACCCCAACGAAGGCGAGACCGACAACAACAACGGTGGTGCTGGTGACCCCAGCTGCCACAACGGAGCCTGTTTTCCGAATGGGCTCAGCGTCCCCAGGCAAACCCGAGTTAGGACCAAGCATGGCTGGCGAGCCAATTCCATGATGGGTGAGCGAATCTCTGCAGGAAAGTTTGGGGAACTATTTGGGGGATTGTTTTGGGATTTTCAAGGTTTGACTTTCTTCTTCTCCTTTGATAAATGTTTCATTTATTATATTATTTCTCAATGTATTATAATCATATTAAAGACATTCTAAAATTAAGGCATGCTAAGTTCACTATCGTTAAGAACTGCACGCAGTTTGTGGCATGGTGAGATTAACTTGCATCAATAGAGGGGGTGTATGAAATAAACGAATCACTAGCTCACCAAGGACGCAGCCGCTCACATCTAAAATCCGAAATGGATCCGACACTGTTTGTTCACCAGGACATGAAGTCTTAGCCAACTCAAACCGGTCCGGATCGATTGGACAGATCAAGGCGTTACAAATTCTTTCTCCCTCATGCTATCGTCAGTGTCTGTTCGGTAATTCAGAAGAAACGGTATCAAGTGAGAATTTCTCGCCCCGTGCAATCGCAGCATCTGCGGACTTTTTTTTTCCTCACGGGGAGTAATTGAAAACGTACTATTTTAATTTCTGAATTCAAGACAGAATGGTAATCACTACAAGACTCGGCAACAAGAACAAGAGAAATCTGCAAACAACGTGCTACCCCAATGCCAGTAACTCCAACATTCCGCGACCGGAGTATCAAAGTCAACGCACTCCCTCCTCACCATCCCATTACCAAATCAAATCAATTCAATCCACCTCCACCAACCAGCCCACCCACCCATCCCCCAACCTACGACCGCGTAAGATTATAGCACGTCGCCCCCCCAACCGGCAGACAAAACCCCGCCCCCCCATCCTTCGCCGTCAGATTCCCGACCGGCACCCCGCACGCATCTCTGCTCAGATTCGTCGAGGAGTAAAACGTCAAGCGTTCCGCGCCCGTGAGGTTGCGGGTCATGACGAAGGCCCAGAAGGGGAGCTGGGGGCTGGGCCGGTCGTAGCTGAGGGGGAGGACGTTGAGGAGGGTGGTGTCGGAGGCGTTGACGGTGGTGCAGTCGGGGTCGGCGTAGGTGGCGAGGGTGAGGGCCGGGTTGGCGGTGCCGCCGGGGAGGGAGAGGGCGGCGAGGGAGGAGGCGGAGGGGGGGGGGGAGGGGGAGGCGGCGGTGGTGTTGGGGGGTGGGGTGGTGGAGGTGGTGAGGGTGAGGGCGGTGGAGAGGATGAGGATGGTGGTGAGGGGGTGCATGGTTTGAAGGCGGGTTGTTTTTGGGATGTTGGTGGTGAGGTGGGTTGGAGGGGGATGGGTTTCGATGGGGGGTTACTTGTGGGTCGGGGGCGAGATATACATAGGTGATGAAAGTTGCGGGAGGCTGGGTGAAAAGTAGACTGAGGAGTGGGTGTTTTGATAAAGACTCCCAGGCTGGGAGAAGTTCCTTTGAGGATCTTCATGGAAATAGATTTCGTCTTTCGGTGTTTTTCTGGGTGTGTGCTTTGTCAACATATCTATTGCGAGTCGGGTACTTTTGAGCGGAGCAAAGCAGCCTTGTCTCGGGCCCTTGGTTCTAAATTTACTGTCAACAACAAAGAACACTTTGCGCAAGACAAGAAATCTGAGTTCCCTAGCTTTCGGCTGTGACAAAGAGGTCTTTGATCGATGAGAAATCCCTTACAAAGTGTCAGCTCATGTGATATCTAATTATGGAACAGACTTCGATTGACTTGTGCGTACATTTCGAAGGCTTCGCATATGTTTTGAGTTGTTGCGTCGCAATCCTGCGACTCATGCCTAATTTGCTGAAGTTTACCATGTAGTGCGAGTCGAAAGGCTTGTCAACCAGAGTGCTTTTTCCTGTAAGAGATGCCCGTTATGCATCAAACCATCAACAGCGGGTTGAAGTTAGCCGTACACCGTACACCGCCGAGTCTTCGAAAAGGCATGTAGAGACTTACGTGACGTGGCAAAATAGGCATGAATCGAAATTTCATTCGTGTCCGAAGTCTGTTCTCCTGTGGCCGTGTAGTCCGAAGGGCGTCTGCAGATATCAGGCACGTATACCAACCAGCCCAATGCAGCACCGTTGAACCACGTCCTCCCTCCAAGCCAACATCTCCAGCGCAGGCCGCCCCAGCGCCCTTCTCGTCTACGCCTCCCGTCCGGCATAACGCGCAACCGACGCCGGCTCGCGGGTAGGACAGGACCGGGTACGTACGTTCTGTCGGGGCCGAAATGGAAGAACTGGCCCTTACGATCTCTGCGGCCGATATGGAGCCGTGGGTTATCACTTGGCAAATCATGACGGAACTGATGGGGTACTGTTTTGTTGAGAAGGGGGTTTGCTACGCGCTTGGAGGGGATTTGTGGGGCAAAGAGGGGGGGATGTTTTCAGAGCGGTTGTTGATGTGCGAATTTTGCAGGTGGGGGAGGGTGGTTAGCTGAGCATTTTAGCGACGGGTTTGCGACGGCTTCATCATCAACCGGTTTCTCGGGAAGGAAGGAAGGAATAGAGGAAGGAATAACTTGCTTGCGTCTTTTGAACCTTCGGTTCTCCATTCTACTTAATTGCTGCAAGCATGAAATCTCATAAGGAGACAACATCGTCTACCAAGTGGAGAGACTCCCACTGATACACTGCTCACTCGGGCTGAGAGCCAGATGGAGCTGTCTCTCGGAGCGGAAAGACCTCCGGCAAGATGTCATGAATGTCCTCATCCCCGTAAAAGTCCGCGGTGTCTATGGTAGCAATACGGCTGTTCCACACCTCGATCAGCTTCTGGAGATCTCCAGCATTCCCTTTGTCTTGCATTTTCTCTATAACATGCTCCAGATATGTAGGGATATCGGCCACGATGAATTCATGACCCGATGGATTTGACTCGATGGATGGTGTGACGAGTGCGTACCTCAGTCTCTTAATCGCTCGGAATGGCAGGTTCTGGTTCTTGCCTTTGTCCTCGAATGGGTCTTCAGGTCCCAGAAGCAAGGCCATCGCCCTTTCCATGGACTGCTCCCCTCCTTTTGGCTGCTCTAGCGGATTGTCGTCCTCACTGCCAGAGTCTGCTCCGGCAGACTCCCCCCGTTGGCATTCGTCAAGATAACGCTGACTTGGAGCATCAAAGGCCTCATGAATCAAGACAATAGCCCATCGACCAGGTTCGAGGTGCGCATGAGCATCACTTGAATGGATGCGCTCACGGGTACTGTCCAGGTAAAGCCTTTTTCCCAAGGTCCCAATACCAAACCCTTTGCCACCACCCACGGGGCCAACCCCTAAGTCATTGCCACCCGGAATGGATGATGCCATAGCAAAGGAGAAAGCTGCACCCCTCGACCACCGCTCGGGGTTGTATAGCTCTGAAGAAGAACCCCAGTTCAACAGGCGCAAGAGGCCGGCGACGGTCTTGAATGTGGGAAGCGGCATGTCCAAAGGATACCTCTTGTATCTCAGACCAGACCCAGAGCAGCCAACCTTCGGCTGCCTCAAACTCTTCCAATCAAATAGTCCACTATCTAGACGATTGTCTTTGTCGAGAGCTTGGCGTTCTGTGATTGCCAACCAAACTAGCTGTGAAACATCGTTGCCTCTGCAGGCTTGGCCAGTCGATAGAACGTCGTCGGAATCCCAATCAATGCCTGTATCTGATCTCAAGGGTTGAGGCTTGATTGCTTGTCGCAGAAGGTCCGAGTGGTATAAATCGCAGTCGCTTAGAAACATGCTCATGCCTTGCACAGAAATTTGAGGGGCCTCCAATATGTAAAGCGCCTTGAGATCTGCAGCATCACGAAGTACCAATTTCAAATCTTCTTCTGTGACATCGGGCCTGTTTGACATGCACAAGGTAATCATCTTGCCATGCTTTCGGAGTCTCGAGACCACGAGCGACAGATCCTCCGCAGAGAAAGCTTTGAAAGGGCTTAGGTCTACATCGTCATGGTCTTCCAAGGCTCTGCACAGAAGATTCAGTAGATGAGGAGACGGTTCCAGAGCATTCGCTTGCTCATAAAGCCTGTCTTTTAACCTCGGCAGAAAGTCTGTCAGAAGCTCTGCCTCTGATAACAAGCCAGCGTCTTCGTCTGATGCATCCAGAAGTGCTTGAAGCACAGTGGCCATAGCTCCATCACGTAGGGTCTTCGCGGTGCCAGGCTTCTCAAGCTCTGGAACAGCCACCTCATCTCCGCCTCCCTGGTCGAATTCCGGCTCTTCCCATTCTCCCTCGGGCCACGTATCCTGAAGTGTAGCCACTGGAATAGTATGCCACCGATTGAATTCGTCGAGCAATGGAAGGAGATCCTCTGCACTTTGTGGGTCGCTGAGATCATAGTATGCCTCAAGGTAGATACGAGCGGTAAGTGGCGCCATGAGTTGGACGGATCGCTCGCTTTCCATGCCATAGAAGTCAACGAAGCAGTAGCGAACATTGCTTGGTTCAGTGATATCGAAGACAGTAATCCCTAAGAAGTATAAAATCAGTCATTATCATGCCTTTTAGTCAACTTATGGACGGGGGTGGTTGCCCGCATGTACGCATCAAGACATTAAGTGTTCGGCGTGACTGCCCCACACATATCTCATCTCGGTCGGGTTTCTTACCATTGTTGTTGTCGCCTTCGTCGTATGCCATATAGAAATTCTCAACGAGTACAGGATGGTAATAGCCGTCATCTGGACCAAATGATGCACCAGTGATAAGGCAAGTGGCAATGAATGGGAATGGGACGTGAACGTTCTTCTCGTGAAATCCGTCCTCTGGAGGGGCCCAGAAGTCGTCATCTTGACGTTGAGCGGCGATGAGTTCCTGTTCAAGTGGGATCCGATTTGCCGGATCCGCGAAAATTTGGAGAGTTCCAAGGCATCGTCTCAACGCGGTGTGCCCATAGAGCCATTGGTGATGGATGGCACATAGGGTGCGGTAACGGGCATTTATGCTTGCAATGACGAACAGCTGATGGCGTTGACCCATTGTGGTCAGATGGTTTGGGAATGCAGTCGATGAGATGGGTGAGAATGTGAGGGAGTGATAGATACAGTGAGTCGAAGTGTCAGTGTTTGAAGGAGTGATGGATGGAGGTAGTAGGAGTGAGTCGAAGTGTCAATTTGAAGGGAAGATGGGGAGTGGTGGAAGTGAATGAGTGAAGCAAGGTAAGACGGTGATGCACCTATTCAACCTCAGCCGTGCAAACATTAGGGCTGTTGTTGTTGTTGTTGTTGCCAAACATCATCATATTCATCTCTGACTTTTCTCTTCAGTTGCAGGGTCAGGTATTCATTGGGTATACTCTACGAGTACTGATGAGATGCCAGTAATCTTACAGCCTTACGGTTTCTACTTCTTGAAAATCATTATGTAGAGATCATGCCAAAAGACCCATCCTTTGACCTTGAAGCTATTCAGGGAGCTCCGGGACCTTGGTCTTAGACTATGAGGTGAATAAAGGGTCGAAACGCGAGCTTCGGGATTTAATCTTTGATTTTAAGCTTTGCAGGGGTTCGCGACGCGTGTCCCTGAGTCTCTTTACGCGTCTCTCTCAGAATCAAGTGCTGTCAAAAGCTTCAAGTGCACTTGCATCATCTCACGCACAAGACAAGCTGCTCAAGATTCACGAGGGAAACTATGGCCGCAGTTACTCAACAACGGCCTCGTGCCCGCCCAGCGCGTAAGTGGGAAGAATGATCAGTCTTACCCATATTCTGAGTACCTCATACAGATCCCTCCGGCCCTACCTTCCTGACATATACCCCGAATGGCAAGCAATTGGTCACAGCCGGATCGAACAACGTGGTTAGAGTCTACGCAACAGGCTCGGATGGGGAACCCACGAATCTGGACGATTGTCAGGAGAACAATACCGCGATTGCTGCTACTGTATGCTTGGCCGCGAAAACCAGCATGGACGACTGGGCTAATGAGGAGTAGAACGACTTCTTCCTCACCGGTTCCGAAGATGGTACCGTCTGCATGTACTCGCTGGATACGTACACCTATGAGAAGATGCTCACGCGATGTACCCTACCCATACGAGACATTGCGCTGTCACCAGATGGGCAATGGGCTGCTGTGGCTAGCGAGTATGTCCGAGATATTCTGGGTCAAGAGCCGAATCACTGACTTCATGCAGCGAGCTAATCGTGAAGGTCATCAATATCGCCGATACTTACACGGTGCTCTATCTACGCGACCTGCCCAGGCCCGCCAAACATCTATCATTCGATCCCAGCGGCTCGTACATCGCTGCGTCCTGCGCCGACGGCATTGTCTATGTTTACAAGCTCAGCACTGAAGAGCCGGACTTGGTCAGAAAGGTTGATGGGTTGATCCGCAGCCTCGATGTCGAGTCTGAGTCGAGTTCGCGAGCCGTATGGCATCCGGACGGGCGAGCGTTTGCTGCACCAACAGCAACGAGAGATATTCAATTGGTGTCAAGTGGAGATGGGGAGCGCCAAAGGGCATTTTCTGGAGGTCACATGGGAGACGTAACAGCACTCGTTTGGTCGCCAAATGGGGCTCTGCTCATCACCTCAGCGTCGGACAGGAAGATCCTGTTGTGGGATACCAAGACACAAAAGATTCTAGCCAGGTGATCATGATCGAGACAGCCAGCCAGCAAGCCTCGTGCTAACATTGGTGCAGATACGATTACCCAAGCGTAATCAACATGGCATGGCATCCAACTCAGAACATCGTTTCCTTCGTCACATCGGATGGTGAATTGTATATCTATGAGGGTTTCTTGCAGCCAGACACCTTTACCCTGCTTCAAAAGCCCATGCAATCGTCGCCATTCATCAGGGATCCACTTGCAGAAACATCGGGAAACGCTAGCAAAGTCCTCCCCAACGGCGTCAAAGATAAACCAGATGCCCGCGCTAAGCGGAGAGGAACTCCAGATTCCCTTGATGATATTCTTGGTCCAGAGCTGGGAGATGAAGATGACTTCGTCAGCGATGATGATGGGGCGGGCTATCTGGATGGTGTCAACGGATTTGGAAAACGAAGTAACGGCCATCTGGATTCGATCGATGGGATCGATAACAAAAGAAGAGCGACTATTCATGCGTGGCAGCCAAGACTCCATCAATCCTTTCAACCTGGAAGTACGCCCTGGCGAGGCAACCGGAAATATCTATGTGAGACCCGAGCTTGACAGACACTGGCAAGGCTAATCGTCATCCAGCCCTGAATCTGACCGGCTTTGTTTGGACTGTTGATCAAGATACCCACCATACAGTGACCGTAGAATTCTACGATCATGAATTCCACCGTGACTTTCATTTCACAGATCCATATCTATATGACAAAGCTTGCTTGAGTATGCTCTTGTGTCACTCGACAGCGAGGAAGTAGGCTGACAGGTCCCAGATGAGAATGGAACTCTGTTTTCCTGCCCTCCGGCGAATGGCAATCCAGCAATGGTATTTTACCGTCCCCATGAGACCTGGACAACACGAGCAGATTGGCGTACTCAGCTGCCAGCCGGAGAAGACGTGACCTGTAAGCAGGTCCTTATCCTCGCGTCGGCCCAAGTATTGACGAATGATAGCGATATCCCTGAGCGACTCGTACATTGTCGTCACAACCTCAACTAACTACGTCCGTGTCTTCACATTGTACGGCACACCGTTCAGAGTCTACCGGCAAAAGTCATCTCCGACGGTCACATGCGCCTCATGGCGGGATTACATTCTTACGATGGGCAATGGGACTGTTGGTGGCGACGGATCAACAAAGCTTTTGTACAACATCGAGAACGTCAAACGGGATGAAGTCTGCCAAAGCGAAGACATTGTAGCTTTGACCGAAGGTGCTCAAGTCAAGAGCGTCTTCTTTTCGGATAACGGTGATCCCTGTGTCTACGACTCTACCGGCATTCTGCTAATCCTACAACACTGGCGGTCCCCCGGTCAGGCAAGATGGGTACCCGTATTGGACACAAAGCAGCTGGAACGTCTTGCTAGCGGGAGAAAGGAAGAGACCTATTGGCCTGTTGCTGTTGCGCAAGAGAAGTTCCATTGCATCATTCTCAAAGGAGGAGATCAGTATCCGTACTTCCCAAAACCGCTGCTTAGCGAGTTCGACTTCAAAATACCCTGCTCCAACCCAACGCTACCAAAGGATTCAGAAGACTCGGCCGTCCTGGAGAGCCCCAAGCTCGAGGAAACCTTCGTTCGCAGCTCACTGATGCTAAGTCTGCTCGAAGACCTCATATCATCGACAAATGCCACACACAGCCAACGAACCGAGCTGAGCAGACGAGAAATCGACGTAAACAAGTCATTGCTGCAGCTGCTGAATGTCGAATGCAGGGAAGGCGAAGACAGAGGCATGAAAGCCCTAGAGATTGTAGGCTTGATGAAAGACCCAAGCGGGAAGATGGTAGAGGCTGCGGGCAAAGTGGCGGGCCGGTATGGAAGGACGGTACTGCAAGAGAAGATCGGAGAACTGGCGGAGAAGAGGCTGTTGGGTATAGAAGACGAGGAGTAGTCGTAGTATTCCCAAGACCAGAATATCAAGCGAACAGCATCCCTCATTCCGAATCCCTAGACCGACCCCCTCCCCTGCACCCATCCTCACCATCCTCCCCAACTCCCACCTCACTCCCCCTCCCCCTCCCCCACCCCCCTCACCAAATCCCGCCAATCCCCCCCAAACGCCCCCCCAACCTTCCACCTCCTCGCCTCCCACACATCCTCACTACTCCCCTTCTCCCCCCCCCCATACTTCTCCCTCTCCCTCCCCGCCGCCCACGCCCGCACCCTCTCCCTCCGCCGCTCCTCCCCCGCGACCCCGCGGTTCGTCCGGACGCAGAACCAGAAGTCGGCCCAGTGGTCGCCGCAGCCGCGCAGGCTGCCGTAGCGGTACACGTGGGCGAATTGGCCGCCGAAGGATTGGCAGTGGAAGGCCGCGTCGAAGGCGGAGCGGCAGGAGAGGGTTGTGGGGAGGGTTGTTGCGGGGGTTATGGGGGAGGGGGTGGGGGGAGGGATGTCGGGTCGGGGGTGCTGGCGGGTGGTTGGTCGAGGAGGGTGGGTGGGTCGGCGGTGGTGGTGATTGGGTTGGGGGTGCTGGCGGGTGGTTGGTCGGGGAGGGTGGGTGGGTCGGCGGTGGTGGTGATTGGGTTGGGGGGAGGTGGGTCTTTGGTTGTGCTCCATAGCCAGCCCATTGTTGGGGATTTTGGACGGTTGTGCGTAGTTAGTTGTAAGTGGTTTTAGGTGGTTGACTACTTTAAGGAGTTGGCTCGACTGGGGAGAGCCGCTTTAGCGCGGGAGCTAGAGTAAGGTACATCTCTTAGGGCTTGTGCTGCCGATTTTGAAAGCGCGTCTGACGGAGCTGGACCTCTCTCCGCATTTCCAAGATTCAACATCCATCTATAATCACAACTTCTAGGCTCCAACGTTTTCTCTAACATGGCCTAGAGCCTCTCAGAATGATCAGTAAGATGCCTCATTGTCGGGTATAATCAAAGTCTGACCGCCAACATGCTGGGGATTTATCCCCGACTCCTCAGCAAGCCACTGGGTCATAGCTATACTGCACGAGCTCTTGGGACGGTCGCGAATCCATATAAGCATGCCTTCATACGTCATGAGGCCCTACGAACATTTGGTAGTGAGAGGTACAAGTCCACAATAGCTGGGGACAACAGGTCAGGGCATATTGAGGCAGGAAAAAATGAGGGAATCTTCTTTATTGACAGTGAGTAGCCCAAAGGCTCTTGGCCTTCTGGCTCGAATACATACAGTGCTTGAGGTCATGGGTCTGGGCTTGCTCCCGCTGCTACTGCTCGAATGCCGGGGCTCTTCCCTCTGCGATCCACGCTAATACTTCGCAGATGTCTTCCCTCTCAAGCTCAACTTCATAATGTGGCTCCCGTTCATCGACGTTGAAAAACTCGTGCCACAACTCGCACACCCAGATCCAGCGGCAGATCCTGCAAATATTGCTGAGCGCGCCCTACCGAGCAAGCT